TGAGACAACTGAAGGAAAATGCAAAAGTCAAAGCCATGAAGCTCCTGTTGGAGCTGGCAGGGAAAGCCTTGCCATTTGCCAACCTACAGCAGCCAGTGCCTGCCATGCTCCAAAGGCCTACTGGCCCCATGGCAAGTGCCCAGCTCTTCTTCACACCCCAGGGCCTGACACAGGATTGGGGCAAGTTGCTGGCACTGTCACCAGGGGGTGCTGAGCTGTGGAAAAGGCTTGGAACCAGGACTTGGCTGAATAGATGCATTGCATCTTCCTTGGAAAATGCAACATTCCAAGATATCCTCTTCTTCAATGCCTACCTCATGTGCCACCCCAAGGTGAAAGGAAGGGGCCAACTGCTCTGGACTGCAATTGGTTCCACTACCTTGCCTGAGCTGGTCTTTCACCTAGGCACCTGGCTGGATGCCCTTGCTTTGGCCATGAAGGAGGAGCCACTTCAGATGCTGCCCATTCTGAAGACCAAAGAAGGCAATGCCAGGCTGCTGGCAGATCCAGTGAACCGCATGCTGCTTCTGTGGAAGCTTAGGAGAAGCAAGCAGCATAGGTTGGAGATAGCTGGCACACATGGTGATCTGGGTGGCAACACCATCAGAATGATGAGGTATGAAGCATATCTGGATTGCCTTTTGCACAGCAAGGCCCTTGAGTATGCTTTCAGTGGCTACAAGCAAGTCTGTGTCTCCTGGGACCCCAGCTCCTATGGTGGCAAAGACATTTTCATTGGATGCTTGTATGTGCCACAGTGCAACCAAGCTGCATACCTCATGAGCCAGCATTTGGGTGCCACCTACCTTGGAGAATTGGATGGGTCATTGCTTGAGCTGGGCCAAGCCAGAAAACTCACCAGACTTGAGGGCTACAGGGAGGTCAAAGGCCTAAGCTCATCACTGGAAGGTGTGGGGCTGTCTTTGAAGGACTTCTTTGTGCCTGAAGGACTGGTGCTCAGGCCTTTGGCTCCCCATGAGCTCAGGATTCAAGGTCCAGGTGGGAGATGGTACATCCAAAATGAAAAGACTGGAGAGACCAAACCTGAAGCCCCAGAGGACTTTGATTTTGGGGCTCTTCCTGCTCTCATCTCCATTTCAGACCAAGGGCCAGCAAACACAGCTGCACTCAACTACTTGATGTTTAGCTCCAAGGCTTTGCTTCTGTGGTCCCTATGGGACCCTTACCACAGAGCTTGGAACGACCTCAAGTTGGCCCTCAAGCGCTGTGCTGGTGATGGGTGGAGAACAGTGCTAGAACTCACCCTGGTTGCCAATATGAACTATGGCCCATTTGGAAGTGGCAGTTGGTTCTTCAAGAAGAAAGCCAAATTGCAAGACTTCCTGATGACCAGGGATGTGAACAGTCCTGCCTGGAACAACTTCCAGCATCTTATTTGTCAAGAAAGAAGGGTTTCTGAACCCAGCAATCTGGAAGAAGCACAGGAACTGTTCACTGAGATGGCTAGCCTGCAATCCTTCAACACCAAAGGCCCATTGGTGAAGCTCATGCGCTGGTTCTCATTTTTCGAGTCAATGGCATTCCTGGATGGTGAGTTTTATATGACTAAACTCATCCTTCTCCATGCTGCTGAGAAAGCAGATGCTGGCTCAGAGGCAGAGATTGATGAGGGCTTGCCACAGGAAAAAGACCACAAGAAGGAGCTTGCAGAGCTGAAAAAACGCAAGGGCACATGGAGGTTAGCCCCAAGCCTCATCAATGGCAAATCCCTTTGCATGAAGGACTGCATCATGGCCTGTGGGAAGGCAATATGGCAGAACTTCTCTGAGAGAGCAAGGGAGGTTTGCTCCCCCATGCGGGTGAAGGAGCTGAACATAGCATGTGCTCAGAGCACATTCTTACCTTGTGAGCTCTTGGACATGTTGGAATCTTCTTTGGAGGAGGAGAAATGCCTGAAGCACCTCTTTCCAGAATTCCAAGGGCATGAAAGTGCCATGACCTGGCATTGTGACCTCTTGGCAAAGCTCCTGGAGACCAGGGCAATGAGCTTGGCTGTCTTCTACCTGATGCCACCCAGCCTCTACTGCCACCTGCTGTCCTATGACCCTGAGGTGTCCAGGGAAGCACATGACTTGGCGCGGAAGCATTGGGGCATGTTGCTAGCAGCTGAGGAGGCCCATGCTGCTGGTGCAACAGTCAAGCCTTTGTCCAGCATTTACTGGAGGTTCAGCCCACTCATCAGGGCTTTGTTCATGGCTTTTGAGGAAGATGCCCGCAAGTGCCTAGTGTACACCACACAAAGTCAAGCCATGAGATTGCAGCTGCTCTTCACTCAGCACCTGGGAGATTCCAGGCTGATTGAGAACATTCACCAACATGGAAGAGATCTTTGCAGGGCCAGCAAATCCAATTCCATGTCGAATGTGAGCATTATGGCCAATGTCTTGAGATGTGGTGTACTGGAGGGCAGGAAAGTCCCTATGGTTGCTGCCAAGGAGATCATGAAGGCAACTGGCATGGCCTGGCATTCCAAGAACAAGGAGCCTGTGGTTCAAAAGTTGAGAACTCATGGGAAGAAGCTGCCTGTGGAATTGCAGCAGATGATGGCACCCAACAAAAAGGGCAATGAGCAGTGGCCATCTCCAAGCCCTGGCTCTTTGTTTCAAAGCTGTTGCTCCACAGACTGGCTCTTCCATTACTTCTCAGACCAAGCTGCCACAGATGCAGATGTCAATTCTGCATGGCTTTCTTGCCTTGCCAGGCCAGGGGCCATCTTGGCACAACAATCCACTTCATCAGTGGTCATGGTCATTGCTTCTGCAGAGTACAGCTTCTTGGGTGTGGCCATGGAGGCCAAAGTGGGCTTGACATTGGAAAGGACCTTCCACTGTGTTGTGAGGCGGGATTCCATTGGCTTCCACCACATCACAGACTTGGATGATTGGTTGGAGTTGCAGGTGGAGCCTTGCCTCACCACAGCAGGAGGAACTAGGGGCCCCATTGGTTGGCGGAAGATTGCTGAGCCTCTCACCTTGGATGCAGCTGCTTTGCTGAAAGGCATCACCTTGACATTTCTGCAGCTCAAGGATTTGGTTGTGGCATTGGGGGGCTCCAAGAAAGGCATAGCTTCCAAGAAGGCTGCCATAGAGCTCCTCATCACCATGGCCTTTGCTGCTGACAAAGTGGAAGAGGTGAAGGCAATGTATGCTGCTGAAGAGGAAGCCAGGGGTGATGAGCAGATGGACTCTGATCTCTCTGAATTGGTCTCTGGGCTTGGGCAAGATGATGCCAACACCCAAGACCTCAAAGACTTGAAGGAGAAGAAGCAGGCCTACAGACAAAAGAAAGCCCTCAAGAAGGCAGAGCAGCAGGTGCTGCTGCAGGGCAAGGAGAAGTCCAGGAAGGGCAGGGGCAAGGGCAAAGGAAAGGCCAAAGGAAAGGCCAAAGCCAAAGGAAAGGCACAGGCTAAGCCCAAGGAGGAAAAGCCCAAAACCTTCTTGGAAAGTGTCATCGGGAGGGCCAAAAAGCTGGCTGCACAAAGGGACCAAGGAGCAATGGCTGAGATTGTCAAGCAGGAAAGGCATGTGGAAATGGAGGTGGCAAAGGAGATGACTGATGATCCAGAACAGGTGAGAAAGGCTAAGGCTGCTCCTGCTGAGGAGGCTGATGTTGACATGAATGATCTATTTGGAGATGCTGTGCCAGAAGGCCCTGATGCAGGTGCAGCACCTTCTTCTTCGTCTGGGCCTCATCAAAGGGCCCCAAAGACTTACAAGTCACCTGATGACATCTTGGGCCTCCTGAACCCACCAGGCTGCAAATTCACCTTGAGTGGCATGGACCACAGGTTCAAGTCTGAGTGGGAGGATGACCTCCCTGAACTGGATCATCCATACAGCCAAAAGAGATTCTCTGCATCCTTTGCTAAAAGAAGAACTTGGCAGGATGCCCTGAGCCTTGTGCATGAGCGAAATTGGCAGAAATGGAACCTTGTGAAAGATGAGTATCTGCTGGGTGAAGGTGAGGAGCCACAGAAGCCTGGTGTGATTCCACAGGAATTGCAAGATCTTTTGCAGGTGGAAATTGCCAAGCTTGGGAAGCCAAAAACTTATGCCAAGGGTGCTGCTGGAGAAGATGACACCCAGATGGCAGAGTGAGGGCATGCAGGGTGGGCTGAATGAGCAACCTCTGTGCATAGCTGGTATTGCCAGGAACAATTGCTGCATGCACATTTGAAATTTGCACATTTGAAATTTTTGAGAGCAGCTTTGAGTGGCATGCAGGAAAGCAGCAGGAATGTCAGTGCAAAAAAAGATGCAGTAACTTCAGTGAGACTTGCTAGGTGGGATTGCACAGAGAAGTTGGTAAACTCCATTGGGTTGGTAGACTGCCACTCTGACCCCCTTGCCCATGTTGCTGAGATGTGCTTCACCCTTGCTTGGCCCTATGCTCTTGACAAAGCAGGTGCACACCATGGGCAGTGCAAGAGGGAACTTGAGCCCTGCCCCAGCAACCCAGCTGCACTGGGATTCTGAGTGCCACAGCATGGCCATGATCAGGCTTTGAGATTCCAGCCTTGTCTTGGCTTGCTTTGGTTCTTGGCATCTTGTTGCAGGGTGGCTTGCTGGTGCATGGCTTGGGCCCCTTGCCTGGGCATGGTGGTGAACATTGTGCTTGCCTCTGGCATTGGCAGTCCTTGTCTCCTCTTGGCTTGCCTTGGTGCTTGCCAGCTTGGTGCAGGTCTTGCTTGCTTGGGCATGGCTTGAGCCCTTTGGGCTTAGCCATGGTGGTGAACACTGTGCTTGCCTCTGGCATTGGCAGTCCTTGTCTCCTCTTGGCTTGCCTTGGTGCTTGCCACCTTGGTGCAGGTCTTGCTTGCTTGGGCATGGCTTGAGCCCTTTGGGCTTAGCCATGGTGGTGAACACTGTGCTTGCCTCTGGCATTGGCAGTCCTTGTCTCCTCTTGGCTTGCCTTGGTGCTTGCCACCTTGGTGCAGATCTTGCTTGCTTGGGCATGGCTTGAGCCCTTTGGGCTTAGCCATGGTGGTGAACACTGTGCTTGCCTCTGGCATTGCCTTGGTGCTTGCCACCTTGGTGCAGGTCTTGCTTGCTTGGGCATGGCTTGAGCCCTTTGGGCTTAGCCATGGTGGTGAACACTGTGCTTGCCTCTGGCATTGGCAGTCCTTGTCTCCTCTTGGCTTGCCTTGGTGCTTGCCACCTTGGTGCAGGTCTTGCTTGCTTGGGCATGGCTTGAGCCCTTTGGGCTTAGCCATGGTGGTGAACACTGTGCTTGCCTCTGGCATTGGCAGTCCTTGCCTCCTCTTGGCTTGCCATTCACCAAGCCCTCCCACCCACCCTTGCTTTGCTGGTGTTGCTTTGTTGCTGCTGTTGTGGGGAGGGGTGGCAGTCTACAAACCCATTGGAGTTATTGGAGTTTGTTTTATTTTTAACATGTGTGGCAGCAATGTTTCCAAAGCCAGGGCTTGGCACAAGAACATTTTATTTGGTTTTGAGTGCCAGTGCCAGCAGGCCATCAACATGTGAAGAAACCTACATGCACCACTTCTTTGGGGTTTTGTGTTATGTAGGTGATTTGCCAATACAGTCAGTGAATTTGGCTTTGAACACACACAGTCACAAACCATTTGGGTCACCATGGGCTATGCTTGCCACCTGCAGGTGCTGTGGGCCTGATCTGATGAGTGCAGCCTGTGGCCAGTGGTAGCACTGGAACTTTTGACCTTCTGAGAGGGGTGAGCTACACAAATTTGAAACCTTAGTGGACAAACGCCATGTGACAACACTGTGGTGGACAATTGTGCTTTGAAGGGGGGAAAACTGCCTGTCAAGAATCTGGGTGAGTTGTTTGTGTGCTGAATTGGGGTTAGTGACTTAGTGACACATGCAACAGCCAAGGTTGGCTACTGAATGTTGTGCTGGCATTTTCTTTTATTTTCAGTGTGGGTTTGTTGCAAAGGGTGCCATACCTGAAGGGTGTTTCAAATTGTGAGTTTCTAGGGCTTTTGAGGTCATTGCAAGGCCTTTGCACTGTTTGCACCAACCCAATGGGAATGTGATTGCATTTTCATTGGGCTGTACCTGGAATATGGGAAAGGGGTCCCTATTTTGAAAGTCAACATGTCCCTTCTGCATTTTTTTGGGTGTTTTGGTTTATTGCAATCCCTCTGCATCAATCCAATGGAATGAAATTTGTTTTACAAGAGGAGTTTTGTATGTTGTTTTTGCAATGGGCCTGAAATATGTGAAGGGGTTCCCATTTTCAAAGCCAACATGTAATTTTTATTTTGTTTTGTTCTTTTGGTGTTGTTGCAATCCCTCTGCATCAATCCAATGAGTGACATTGTTTTTACAAGAGGGGTTTGGCATTTTGTTTGGGATAGGCATGGAATATGTGGAAGGGGTCACCATTTTCAAAGCCAACATGTAATTTTTATTTTGTTTTGTTCTTTTGGTGTTGTTGCAATCCCTCTGCATCAATCCAATGAGTGACATTGTTTTTACAAGAGGGGTTTGGCATTTTGTTTGGGATAGGCCTGAAATATGTGGAAGGGGTCACCATTTTCAAAGCCAACATGTAATTTTTATTTTGTTTTGTTCTTTTGGTGTTGTTGCAATCCCTCTGCATCAATCCAATGAGTGACATTGTTTTTACAAGAGGGGTTTGGCATTGTTTTGGGGATAGGCCTGAAATATGTGGAAGGGGTTCCCATTTTCAAAACCAACATGTAACTTTTTCATTTTTGTTCTTTTGGTGTTGTTGCAATCCCTCTGCATCAATCCAAGGGGTGCTTGCTTGTGTTTTGTGCAGGTTTTTTTTTAGGTTCTTTTAGGTTTTTCAAGGCAATGTTGGGATTTTTGTTGTTTTGCATAGGTTTTAATAGAAAATCATAGGAAACTATAAGTTTCATATATATTAGACCCTATGTTGAAGAAACACTCTCTTGAAGAAGCACTTCAAGAGATGCAATGAATAAAGACGTGCATATGTTTTTTTTAATGCACACATACCTTTTAAATCTGTCCGTCGTCAAGATCCTCTCATCACGGTTGACGATGATAGGGGGGTTGTAACCTACCCTTTATACTTTGGATATTCTCATAATCCATTTTCAATGGAATCTGGTTCTTAACTTCAATGGGAATATTGTTCTTAACCAGGATGAAATTGACATTGCTGATGTTGAAATGTGTTGAATACTTGCAATGTCTTGAAACTTAAGCTTTACATATATCAGGGTAAATTTCATCACGACCTCACTGTTCTCCCGAAGCCTGGAATCATGGGAATTGGATTCGGGAAATCATCCCCAAGTGAAGATTTCAGGTTAGTGAAATATCATAATTTACCCAGATATATGGTTCAAACTATATATATATATATATGTATATACATACATAATATTATGTGTACATATATATATATATGACTATACAGCATCATAGACCATAAATCTTTGCTTCACCAAGGATGCTACTTCAAGAGGGGTTTTCTTCAGGGCCAATTTGGCCATATCAAAGGCTAAGAAAATCCCAGAATTTGCAACCCTGCTAAATTTGGGATTTTTCTAGCCTTCCTCTCACATTTGCCAGCTTCTTTGCAGCCTTTTGGCTCCAGTTGGTTTTCAAAGGGACCCCAGGCAGAATGCCATCGAGAAAGAAGAGGGGGAGACCTGGTTACAAGAACCTGCCATATGACTGGCAAAACCCCATGCATCAGGCAATTCCTCCTTGGGTGAAACCTTGGCTGGGAGGCTATGGCCAACAGCCAGAGGAACAGGATGATGATGATGAGGAGGAGGAGTCCAGCTCCAGCAGCAGGGCCAAGTCGTCTAAGAGGATGCATGGCTTGAACATGAGCTATCATAGATTTAGTAGGAAGTAGACTGTTAGGGGCAGTTGGGGGTTCTGAAGCTAGTGGTACAGCAGCAGCATCATTGTTTGAAATTGTACCTGGAACTATTGCAAGAGGTGGCACTTAAGGTTCATCACTTTTCAACTTCCAAGATTCTAGGTTTGAATCTCCTTGTTTCCCTGTTTTGAAATTGCTTGGTTGAAAGTAAATCAATGATTCATCATTTGACAATTTGTGGGGAAACCTGGGTGCAGCAGCTTGGCATCAGGAAGGAGAAGAAATCCAAGGACAAGAAGAAGGTGAAGAAAAGGAGAAAAGAAAAGGTAAGAAGGATAAGGACAGCAGCAGTGGTGAGTCAAGTTCAGATTCTGACACCATCCCATCGCAGCTAGCACAAAATTAGCCCAACACCCTGAACATCTTATTTGGCATTTGTTCATCATGGCCTGCTCAGTACATGAAAACTATTGATGAACTATTGCACCATGACATTAGAAAACATGTTTCTTGGTTCTGTTGTGTGTAGAGCCATTCATTCAATGCATTGCCATGGATTGTGTTGGCAACATCATGATTGCTAACCAACCAATTTGGCATGGAGTTTCTTTGCTTTGCCATTTTCCTGCCACTGTTTTACATCCAAGGCATTGGGTGCACCTGGGCCCAGAATGGGGTGAGACCAAAGAGGGCTTCAGGTGTACAAACAAGAAGAACTCAGTGCCCAGAAATCCAAAGTTGAAGTGGCTGGCAGCAATTGACAAGGAGAGATACCCACCTAGTTACTTGCTTGGCCATATCAAGGTTTTGGTATTGGATAGTGGTTTGCAAAGTCTGTTTGGCTAGAGTGTTTTAAGGTTTTGGTTTGTGGAAGATTGGGTGTCCAGCAATTGGGTGAGACAGCTTCCTGAGGCACCACTTGCATGCTCAGTGAACTCCAACTAGAGCAGCTGCTTTGGTGCTTGACTGGGCTTTCCCCTAAGATTTCTGTGAAAGACTTGGATGTGAAGACCAGATGTGAGTTGACCCTTGGCTGGACTCAGAACCTGCTAGGATTCAGAACATGGTGGAAGTACCTTGGGGGGCCAGTACCTTATGTAAAAATAGTTTATGATAGAAATTGCTTGGGACATCTTCAATGGAGGTGGGGCTTGGGTGGGGGTGCCTGGCTTTGCTCAGGAAGCAGCTGATCAAGGACCAGGCACAGAGGATTGAGAAGCAGCACCAAGGGAAGAGAGCAGAGAGCATTGCTGTTCCTTGGCAAGGGTCAGGTGGGTGGTTCACTCCATCCCATATTGTTTGGGCATACTAGGCATTTCCAGCATGCATGCAGCCCTTTCCATCTGATTGATTCACCACCCAGCCCTATACCAATTCAATCATTTATGGGTTGACTTATGTTGAGCTGCAATGTGGCCAAGGAAGACTTTTCCAATTTGGATGAATACTCAAATCAGCTGGGCTGGTACAATTTGTGGAAGAAGACTTCCAAGAAGATACTTGGTTGCACCTAAACACAGGTTTGGCATATTTGGTATATGGATGCTGTTCCTTTTGGGTGGCAGGGATGTGCATTAAAAAATAATAATTCAATAAGCTGCATTCTGTCACAATTTGAGCCTTACCTTAGTTCCATGTGCCAAATCACCAGCCAAGGGGAGCAGACCAGCAAGACAGTCCTCCCCCACCTTCTGTCTTTCAGGAGTACAGCAAGATCAAAGGGTGCCTTGGCTCTCATGTCATGCACTGGCATCACCAATCAAAGTTCAAAGCTTGTAGTGTTTGGGTAATCACAGGTAACTGTTTTGGACCATTGTTCTAAGGTTTAATAATTCATAATAATTCATAATCCAACCATTTTGTGAAAACTTTGGCCAGCACTTCTCAGAGCTCATGGGAGGCCCAATGGAGAGCTTGAAGTATGCCATGTGGAGAGGGGCATGAAGGTGGTGGTGGGCCCACCACATGCTCCCATTGCCTTGGCCTACAGAAACTCTTGCTACTACTTGAAGCTGGCAGAGACAAGCAAGACTTCTGAGAAGCTTGGAGGCATTGCAAACTGGTAGGTGGTAATTCAAGTGTAGGCATGGCATGGAAGTAGGCTTGCAGGTTGCAGCAGGCACTGATAACTATGGTTTGGAAGGGAAAACCCATTTCATTTTTCAAATTGTTTCACCTGGTGCCTTTCCATACTGGTTTCTTTGGGGCCTGCCCCACTAGCCATCCCAGGGTGCTGATGAAAGCAGATGATGTGTTTGAGCATGCTGATGGTGTGCAAGCTTGGTATGCCAAAGTGGACACTTTGCTGGAAAAATGTTTTGGCTTATGGTTTGCAATTTGTAATGGCTGAATGAATGAGTGGCAGGGGGGCTGGGGTATTAACACCCTTGGCAGCACACTGAGCTATGCAATCTGAAAGCATTGCAACCCTTGGCTTTTGTTGAGTTGCCAGCCCTAGCAATGCAATACATTATTAAAAGTGTTGTAATAAGTGTTTGTAAGTGGACCTTTGTTTATTTCATTGAGATCCATTGGGGGGTTCTCCAGCAAGCCAGTGCATTGAGGCAGAGACTGCACTGCTGAACCAGGAGGACATGTGGGCTCAGCAGTATATCAGCCAGATGAAAGGAGAGGGGCTGGAGGGTTCATGGCAGGGTTGGCATGGCCATGTCACTGTACAATTGTTTGTGCGCATGTCTTACAAACTCATGTGCTGGCCTTGCTGCCTTAAGAAGGTGGACAGCTCACAAGCCAGTATAAAACAACAGCCCCAGGACTACCTGAAGGGCATTGGCAAGCTGTGCAACTTGCAAACTTGGAGCAGCAACTGCCATCAAAAGGGAGGCTGCCAAGTGGTTTGGCAGTGTATTGACATTATTTGTGTTGATGTTTTAAATTGCAGGGGATGGCAACCCAGCAATATGAACTTTTTTTTTGGCTGGGACATGTTGTGGGGTGTTTGTTGTGGTTGTAAATATTTGGTGGCCCAGGCCAAGCAAGCACAGCTGAGCCTTCAGCAGCTGCATCACTTGCATCAGTGCCTTCAAGTAACTTGAGTAGGGCTTCCTCAGAAAGCCAGGCCACTGCTTCCACAGGGCTGGCCAAGGGTGCAGCCAGGAACTCCCCTTCCATATCACCACTGGGATACATATACATGGTGCTTACTTGGTGTGCAAATATAACAATAAGTAGTTTGGGGACACTGACACTCACTTAAATGACATAATTAAATATATAGTTTAGTAGACATGACAAAAGGGTTGTGGTATGTTGGGCAGCTTTTTTTTTAATAATATGAGCCATATTTCACAACATTTTGTGGCCACAGTACAGAAAGCCTTGGGCAGGCATCTACTTGGGTCATGAAGGGGCAGCACTGTCCACCAGGGCCAGCAACTTAACTTGGTGGGGGTGTGATATTGCTTTTGCAATTATCTTTGAAATCAACTAGGGTGGGGTGAGCTATTTGTTTACTGTGCTAGGCCAAAGCTAAATCTACATGGGGGTCAAATATGCAGCCAATGGTCTTTTGGGGTTCAAATTGGAGAAAATCAAGCAAATGAGTTTGGCAGTTGGGGCATCTGAGGCATTTGTCAGCACTTATGCTGGCTCAGAAACCTGGCCACAACCCAGGCAGCAAAATTTGCTTGAAGCTTTTGGCCAAGCTGCACAGGGGCAACCACAGATGGGACAGCTGCAGCAGCAACCAGCACAATCACAAGGTGGCCAGCAGATGGGCCAGCCAACACAGCACCCACCACAACATGGCCAACACACAGCAGATGGGCCAGCCACCACAGCAGCAACAGCTACAAGTGTTTGGGCAGCAGCCACCACTACAAGGACCATGCCCAAGCACACAGCAGATGGTCCAGCCAACACAGCAACAGCCCCAAGTTTTGGGGCAGCAGCAGATGGGTCAGCCACCACAGCAGCAAGTCTTTGGGCAGCAGCAGCCACCACCACACAGTGGCCAAAGCACACAGCAGATGGGCCAGCCACCACAGCAGCAAGTCTTTGGGCAGCACCAGCCACAAAGCACACAGCAGATGATGGGCCAGCCAGCACAGCAACAGCCCCAAGTCTTTGGGCAGCAGCCACCACCACAGAATGGCCACAGCACACAGCAAATGGGTCAGCCACCACAGCAGCAACAGCCCCAAGTCTTTGGGCAACAGCCACCACCACACAGTGGCCAAAGCTCACAGCAGATGGGCCAGCCACAACAGCAGCAACGGCCCCAAGTCTTTGGGCAGCAGCCACCACCACACAGTGGCCAAAGCTCAGAGCAGATTGGCCAGCCACCACAGCAGCAACAGCCCCAAGTCTTTGGGCAGCAGCCACCACCACACAGTGGCCACAGCTCACAGCAGATGGGCCAGGCACCACAGCAGCAACAGCTCCAAGTCTTTGGTCAGCAGCCACCACTACAAGATGGCCAAAGCTCAGAGCAGATGGGCCAGCCACCACAGCAGCAACAGCCCCAAGTCTTTGGGCAGCAGCCACCACCACACAGTGGCCAAAGCTCAGAGCAGATGTGCCAGCAACCACAGCAGCAACAGCCCCAAGTCTTTGGGCAGCAGCCACCACCACACAGTGGCCAAAACTCACAGCAGATGGGCCAGGCACCACAGCAGCAACAGCTCCAAGTCTTTGGTCAGCAGCCACCACTACAAGATGGCCAAAGCTCAGAGCAGATGTGCCAGCCACCACAGCAACAGCCCCAAGTCTTTGGGCAGCAGCCACCACCACAGAATGGCCACAGCACACAGCAAATGGGTCAGCCACCACAGCAGCAACAGCCCCAAGACTTTGGGCAGCAGCCACCACCACCACAGCAGCAACAGCCCCAAGTCTTTGGGCAGCAGCCACCACCACACAGTGGCCAAAGCTCACAGCAGATGGGCCAGCCACCACAGCAGCAACAGCCCCAAGTCTTTGGGCAGCAGCCACCACCACACAGTGGCCAAAGCTCACAGCAAATGGGTCAGCCACCACAGCAGCAACAGCCCCAAGTCTTTGGGCAGCAGCCACCACCACACACTCTTGGCCCAGAGCAGATGGGCCAGCCACCACAGCAGCAACAGCCCCAAGTCTTGGGGCAGCAGCCACCACCACACAGTGGCCAAAGCTCAGAGCAGATTGGCCAGCCACCACAGCAGCAACAGTCCCAAGCCTTGGGGCAGCAGATGCAAAGCACACAGCAGATGATGGGCCAGCCATCACAGCAGCAGGAGACCCAAGTCTTGGGGCAGCAGCCACCACAAGGTGGCCAGAAGACACCAGAGCAGCAACCAGTACAGCAGCCTGAGCAGAGTGCCACAGAAGAGCCAGGCCATGGCCAACAGCAACCACCTGGGCAGACACCACAACAACACATAGAGCAGACAGGGCAGCAGAGGCAGCAACAAGATGGTCAAAGCCCTGTGCCACAGCCACAGCAGCAGCAGCAGCAGCAGCAGCAGCAGCCTGCTGACCAAGCTGTGCCACAACCTATTCAGCAGGTGGGCCAACAAGCACCAAAGCAAAGTGGCCAGCAGCCAGATGCCACACAGAATAACCAGCAACCTGAGCAGGCTGCGCAACAGCCACCTGCAGATGGCCAGCAGAACCTATAAACCCTTGGCCAACACCTATTCTTTGTTTGCTCACACATGCTCTTTGTTTTTGTAGCCTTGGCCACATGAGGCACCAAGACCTCAGGGACATTGAGGACCTGAACAGCTACCAGTTGTCCAGAGACTTGTTCTGGGAGTCTGAGAAGAGAGTGAGGTACACCAGTGTGGGCCTAACCCCCTATGAGATTCACTGCTTGAAGGAAGACCTGCATGAGGAGTATGCACACCATGGTAAGAAGTTGGTGTCATTGTTTGGCAAACCCAAGGGGGCTGGCCAAGCAGTGAAGGCCTTGCTGAACTTGTTTAGGAAGCAACATGATTGGGGCCAAGGGGAGATGGTGAAAGTTGACACAATCCACTTTTCTGTCCTGAAGCACCAGTTGGTGGTGGCATGGTCCCAATTATATGATGACATGGAAGGAATGAGGCTGAAGTTGAACCATCCAGAAAAGGGTGTGGTGTGTGATTGTTTCCCTGCCACAGCCTTGATGCCCATGCTGTGCATCCATTCCAAGTTCACCAGAGTCCAGATGAAGGGTGGATTTGAGCCCAACATCATGGAGACCTTGTGCCCCACCTGCTCTTGGTGCATCAGATGTGGCAAGTGGCTTGGCTGCACATCCACTGGGTGGCTGCTTTGTTGAGGTTGCCACTGTTGAACAATCAGTTGCATATATATATATACACATGTATATATATATATATATACACATGTATATATATATATATATACATATATATACATATATTAAACACATGCATCTGCAATGAAAATAAAGCATGGGGAATATCAATAAACTGCCAGCTATGTTGTTTGCCCATTGCAGCATGGAATGAACCATGTGTACAGTGTTACAATTATGGTATCAGTGAACCACAAGGCATGGCAATGATATGGGGGTGGTGTGTTTTCACCTGTTGTTTGGGCCTGATGGGCCACAGAGAGTACTAGTTGTGTATATTATATGCATGGGTTTGTGTGTGTGTGTATGCTTGTGGTTGTTTGCATGTTGGGGTGGGTGCCTGTTTGTGTGTTTGTTTGTAGGCTTGTTTGTGTGCTTGCTTTTGTTTTATGCTTGTCTTGTGTGTCTCTGTGTGGCTTTGTCTGTCACTGTGTGCTTCTGGGTCTCTGTGAATCCCTTTGTATGGTTTGCTTTTGATTTGTGTGTGTGTGCCTGTGTGTCTCTCAGGATGTCACTGTGGCCTTCTGTGTCCTTGTTTGTTTGGGTGCCCTGTGCATCTCTGTGTGTCTATGGGGGTCTTTGAGTGTCTGTTCTGTGTGTCTCTGTGTTGCTGGGAGTGTGCCTGTGTATGTGTGTGTGTGTCTTTGCATGTCTCTGTGTGTCTGTGTAACTCTGTGTATCTGTGTGTGCCTCTGTGTGTGGTGTAGGGTAGGGGCTAAGGTGCCAGCCAGCATGTGCCCAAGTGGCCACAGTAGTAGTCACTAGGGCCAGCTTAGTAGAGGGTTACATCACCCAGCTTGTATATGTATATGTATATGTATAGGGATATGTATATGTATAGGTACAGGTGTAGGTATATGCATATGCATATGTATATGCATATGTATATGAATATTTACATGTACATGTATATGGATATGTATATGTACATGTATATGTATATGTATATAACTCTGTGTGTGGTGCATTTATCAATGGTGGTTATGTGCCTGCAATACCAATCTTGACTGTCCTGATGATATGGGCAAACAGGTTCTGCAAAGTTGCTATGGCCAAGAGCAAGGGCAACTTGGCTGCCTACAAGGCTGTTTCTGAGAAGGTGATGTGCAGCTGCAACACTGCTTCAACCTTTGGTCCATGGGCTCATTGCTACCCTTGGTGAGATGAGCACTGCCAGGCCTGCCAGCTTGCACAGGCTTTGTTCCACAGTGGCTAGATGCATGCCACCTTTCAACCCCATGATTCTTAGTGCAGGTAACTTATAATATAGCCAGTGCTGAATTGGAGTTGTGATCTGCAAACCCAGGTTGGTAGCTAATTTACTTGTCCACCATCTCAGCAGGCCTGGTGATGACCACAGCTGCACTGTGACACTGTGCAACTCAAGGCTCAAACTGGGTTGGTGACCTGTTGTTTCTGTTGTTGTTGTTGTTGCTGTTGTTGTTGGCCTGCCTGCCTGCTTTGCCTCATGATGGTAGAGGAGCAGCATGTGGCTGAGGGCCAGTTGGCTGCACCAGCCCTTTCAGAGTGCATTGAGGTGGTTGCACCTGGGGAAGCTGGCCAGACAGGCCAGAAGGCATTCACTTTGCCATATGGTGTGTGCACTTTGCCAGACTTACAGCAAAGGGCCTACATCAACAAAGATGGCAAAGCTGAATGGGTTTGGGCCAGGGTGCACAGCTACTGCCAGATCCAGAAGGAACCTGGCAGAATGCTGATGCACAGCAAAGATGCACTCCTGAAAGAGCTGGGAGAGCTTCAGGTGCCTGAGGCTGGCCTCCATTACAGGGGCATGGACACACCAGCTGGTGAGTCTGACTGGAAGGACCACACTTTGGAATCCTCAACTTTGCTTGGGGCCTTGGTGTACCTCTCCAAATTGAGACAACTGAAGGAAAATGCAAAAGTCAAAGCCATGAAGCTCCTGTTGGAGCTGGCAGGGAAAGCCTTGCCATTTGCCAACCTACAGCAGCCAGTGCCTGCCATGCTCCAAAGGCCTACTGGCCCCATGGCAAGTGCCCAGCTCTTCTTCACACCCCAGGGCCTGACACAGGATTGGGGCAAGTTGCTGGCACTGTCACCAGGGGGTGCTGAGCTGTGGAAAAGGCTTGGAACCAGGACTTGCCTGAATAGATGCATTGCATCTTCCTTGGAAAATGCAACATTCCAAGATATCCTCTTCTTCAATGCCTACCTCATGTGCCACCCCAAGGTGAAAGGAAGGGGCCAACTGCTCTGGACTGCAATTGGTTCCACTACCTTGCCTGAGCTGGTCTTTCACCTAGGCACCTGGCTGGATGCCCTTGCTTTGGCCATGAAGGAGGAGCCACTTCAGATGCTGCCCATTCTGAAGACCAAAGAAGGCAATGCCAGGCTGCTGGCAGATCCAGTGAACCGCATGCTGCTTCTGTGGAAGCTTAGGAGAAGCAAGCAGCATAGGTTGGAGATAGCTGGCACACATGGTGATCTGGGTGGCAACACCATCAGAATGATGAGGTATGAAGCATATCTGGATTGCCTTTTGCACAGCAAGGCCCTTGAGTATGCTTTCAGTGGCTACAAGCAAGTCTGTGTCTCCTGGGACCCCAGCTCCTATGGTGGCAAAGACATTTTCATTGGATGCTTGTATGTGCCACAGTGCAACCAAGCTGCATACCTCATGAGCCAGCATTTGGGTGCCACCTACCTTGGAGAATTGGATGGGTCATTGCTTGAGCTGGGCCAAGCCAGAAAACTCACCAGACTTGAGGGCTACAGGGAGGTCAAAGGCCTAAGCTCATCACTGGAAGGTGTGGGGCTGTCCTTGAAGGACTTCTTTGTGCCTGAAGGACTGGTGCTCAGGCCTTTGGCTCCCCATGAGCTCAGGATTCAAGGTCCAGGTGGGAGATGGTACATCCAAAATGAAAAGACTGGAGAGACCAAACCTGAAGCCCCAGAGGACTTTGATTTTGGGGCTCTTCCTGCTCTCATCTCCATTTCAGACCAAGGGCCAGCAAACACAGCTGCACTCAACTACTTGATGTTTAGCTCCAAGGCTTTGCTTCTGTGGTCCCTATGGGACCCTTACCACAGAGCTTGGAACGACCTCAAGTTGGCCCTCAAGCGCTGTGCTGGTGATGGGTGGAGAACAGTGCTAGAACTCACCCTGGTTGCCAATATGAACTATGGCCCATTTGGAAGTGGCAGTTGGTTCTTCAAGAAGAAAGCCAAATTGCAAGACTTCCTGATGACCAGGGATGTGAACAGTCCTGCCTGGAACAACTTCCAGCATCTTATTTGTCAAGAAAGAAGGGTTTCTGAACCCAGCAATCTGGAAGAAGCACAGGAACTGTTCACTGAGATGGCTAGCCTGCAATCCTTCAACACCAAAGGCCCATTGGTGAAGCTCATGCGCTGGTTCTCATTTTTCGAGTCAATGGCATTCCTGGATGGTGAGTTTTATATGACTAAACTCATCCTTCTCCATGCTGCTGAGAAAGCAGATGCTGGCTCAGAGGCAGAGATTGATGAGGGCTTGCCACAGGAAAAAGACCACAAGAAGGAGCTTGCAGAGCTGAAAAAACGCAAGGGCACATGGAGGTTAGCCCCAAGCCTCATCAATGGCAAATCCCTTTGCATGAAGGACTGCATCATGGCCTGTGGGAAGGCAATATGGCAGAACTTCTCTGAGAGAGCAAGGGAGGTTTGCTCCCCCATGCGGGTGAAGGAGCTGAACATAGCATGTGCTCAGAGCACATTCTTACCTTGTGAGCTCTTGGACATGTTGGAATCTTCTTTGGAGGAGGAGAAATGCCTGAAGCACCTCTTTCCAGAATTCCAAGGGCATGAAAGTGCCATGACCTGGCATTGTGACCTCTTGGCAAAGCTCCTGGAGACCAGGGCAATGAGCTTGGCTGTCTTCTACCTGATGCCACCCAGCCTCTACTGCCACCTGCTGTCCTATGACCCTGAGGTGTCCAGGGAAGCACATGACTTGGCGCGGAAGCATTGGGGCATGTTGCTAGCAGCTGAGGAGGCCCATGCTGCTGGTGCAACAGTCAAGCCTTTGTCCAGCATTTACTGGAGGTTCAGCCCACTCATCAGGGCTTTGTTCATGGCTTTTGAGGAAGATGCCCGCAAGTGCCTAGTGTACACCACACAAAGTCAAGCCATGAGATTGCAGCTGCTCTTCACTCAGCACCTGGGAGATTCCAGGCTGATTGAGAACATTCACCAACATGGAAGAGATCTTTGCAGGGCCAGCAAATCCAATTCCATGTCGAATGTGAGCATTATGGCCAATGTCTTGAGATGTGGTGTACTGGAGGGCAGGAAAGTCCCTATGGTTGCTGCCAAGGAGATCATGAAGGCAACTGGCATGGCCTGGCATTCCAAGAACAAGGAGCCTGTGGTTCAAAAGTTGAGAACTCATGGGAAGAAGCTGCCTGTGGAATTGCAGCAGATGATGGCACCCAACAAAAAGGGCAATGAGCAGTGGCCATCTCCAAGCCCTGGCTCTTTGTTTCAAAGCTGTTGCTCCACAGACTGGCTCTTCCATTACTTCTCAGACCAAGCTGCCACAGATGCAGATGTCAATTCTGCATGGCTTTCTTGCCTTGCCAGGCCAGGGGCCATCTTGGCACAACAATCCACTTCATCAGTGGTCATGGTCATTGCTTCTGCAGAGTACAGCTTCTTGGGTGTGGCCATGGAGGCCAAAGTGGGCTTGACATTGGAAAGGGCCTTCCACTGTGTTGTGAGGCGGGATTCCATTGGCTTCCACCACATCACAGACTTGGATGATTGGTTGGAGTTGCAGGTGGAGCCTTGCCTCACCACAGCAGGAGGAACTAGGGGCCCCATTGGTTGGCGGAAGATTGCTGAGCCTCTCACCTTGGATGCAGCTGCTTTGCTGAAAGGCATCACCTTGACATTTCTGCAGCTCAAGGATTTGGTTGTGGCATTGGGGGGCTCCAAGAAAGGCATAGCTTCCAAGAAGGCTGCCATAGAGCTCCTCATCACCATGGCCTTTGCTGCTGACAAAGTGGAAGAGGTGAAGGCAATGTATGCTGCTGAAGAGGAAGCCAGGGGTGATGAGCAGATGGACTCTGATCTCTCTGAATTGGTCTCTGAGCTTGGGCAAGATGATGCCAACACCCAAGACCTCAAAGACTTGAAGGAGAAGAAGCAGGCCTACAGACAAAAGAAAGCCCTCAAGAAGGCAGAGCAGCAGGTGCTGCTGCAGGGCAAGGAGAAGTCCAGGAAGGGTGGTACAGCAGCAGCATCATTGTTTGAAATTGTACCTGGAACTATTGCAAGAGGTGGCACTTAAGGTTCATCACTTTTCAACTTCCAAGATTCTAGGTTTGAATCTCCTTGTTTCCCTGTTTTGAAATTGCTTGGTTGAAAGTAAATCAATGATTCATCATTTGACAATTTGTGGGGAAACCTGGGTGCAGCAGCTTGGCATCAGGAAGGAGAAGAAATCCAAGGACAAGAAGAAGGTGAAGAAAAGGAGAAAAGAAAAGGTAAGAAGGATAAGGACAGCAGCAGTGGTGAGTCAAGTTCAGATTCTGACACCATCCCATCGCAGCTAGCACAAAATTAGCCCAACACCCTGAACATCTTATTTGGCATTTGTTCATCATGGCCTGCTCAGTACATGAAAACTATTGATGAACTATTGCACCATGACATTAGAAAACATGTTTCTTGGTTCTGTTGTGTGTAGAGCCATTCATTCAATGCATTGCCATGGATTGTGTTGGCAACATCATGATTGCTAACCAACCAATTTGGCATGGAGTTTCTTTGCTTTGCCATTTTCCTGCCACTGTTTTACATCCAAGGCATTGGGTGCACCTGGGCCCAGAATGGGGTGAGACCAAAGAGGGCTTCAGGTGTACAAACAAGAAGAACTCAGTGCCCAGAAATCCAAAGTTGAAGTGGCTGGCAGCAATTGACAAGGAGAGATACCCACCTAGTTACTTGCTTGGCCATATCAAGGTTTTGGTATTGGATAGTGGTTTGCAAAGTCTGTTTGGCTAGAGTGTTTTAAGGTTTTGGTTTGTGGAAGATTGGGTGTCCAGCAATTGGGTGAGACAGCTTCCTGAGGCACCACTTGCATGCTCAGTGAACTCCAACTAGAGCAGCTGCTTTGGTGCTTGACTGGGCTTTCCCCTAAGATTTCTGTGAAAGACTTGGATGTGAAGACCAGATGTGAGTTGACCCTTGGCTGGACTCAGAACCTGCTAGGATTCAGAACATGGTGGAAGTACCTTGGGGGGCCAGTACCTTATGTAAAAATAGTTTATGATAGAAATTGCTTGGGACATCTTCAATGGAGGTGGGGCTTGGGTGGGGGTGCCTGGCTTTGCTCAGGAAGCAGCTGATCAAGGACCAGGCACAGAGGATTGAGAAGCAGCACCAAGGGAAGAGAGCAGAGAGCATTGCTGTTCCTTGGCAAGGGTCAGGTGGGTGGTTCACTCCATCCCATATTGTTTGGGCATACTAGGCATTTCCAGCATGCATGCAGCCCTTTCCATCTGATTGATTCACCACCCAGCCCTATACCAATTCAATCATTTATGGGTTGACTTATGTTGAGCTGCAATGTGGCCAAGGAAGACTTTTCCAATTTGGATGAATACTCAAATCAGCTGGGCTGGTACAATTTGTGGAAGAAGACTTCCAAGAAGATACTTGGTTGCACCTAAACACAGGTTTGGCATATTTGGTATATGGATGCTGTTCCTTTTGGGTGGCAGGGATGTGCATTAAAAAATAATAATTCAATAAGCTGCATTCTGTCACAATTTGAGCCTTACCTTAGTTCCATGTGCCAAATCACCAGCCAAGGGGAGCAGACCAGCAAGACAGTCCTCCCCCACCTTCTGTCTTTCAGGAGTACAGCAAGATCAAAGGGTGCCTTGGCTCTCATGTCATGCACTGGCATCACCAATCAAAGTTCAAAGCTTGTAGTGTTTGGGTAATCACAGGTAACTGTTTTGGACCATTGTTCTAAGGTTTAATAATTCATAATAATTCATAATCAACCATTTTGTGAAAACTTTGGCCAGCACTTCTCAGAGCTCATGGGAGGCCCAATGGAGAGCTTGAAGTATGCCATGTGGAGAGGGGCATGAAGGTGGTGGTGGGCCCACCACATGCTCCCATTGCCTTGGCCTACAGAAACTCTTGCTACTACTTGAAGCTGGCAGAGACAAGCAAGACTTCTGAGAAGCTTGGAGGCATTGCAAACTGGTAGGTGGTAATTCAAGTGTAGGCATGGCATGGAAGTAGGCTTGCAGGTTGCAGCAGGCACTGATAACTATGGTTTGGAAGGGAAAACCCATTTCATTTTTCAAATTGTTTCACCTGGTGCCTTTCCATACTGGTTTCTTTGGGGCCTGCCCCACTAGCCATCCCAGGGTGCTGATGAAAGCAGATGATGTGTTTGAGCATGCTGATGGTGTGCAAGCTTGGTATGCCAAAGTGGACACTTTGCTGGAAAAATGTTTTGGCTTATGGTTTGCAATTTGTAATGGCTGAATGAATGAGTGGCAGGGGGGCTGGGGTATTAACACCCTTGGCAGCACACTGAGCTATGCAATCTGAAAGCATTGCAACCCTTGGCTTTTGTTGAGTTGCCAGCCCTAGCAATGCAATACATTATTAAAAGTGTTGTAATAAGTGTTTGTAAGTGGACCTTTGTTTATTTCATTGAGATCCATTGGGGGGTTCTCCAGCAAGCCAGTGCATTGAGGCAGAGACTGCACTGCTGAACCAGGAGGACATGTGGGCTCAGCAGTATATCAGCCAGATGAAAGGAGAGGGGCTGGAGGGTTCATGGCAGGGTTGGCATGGCCATGTCACTGTACAATTGTTTGTGCGCATGTCTTACAAACTCATGTGCTGGCCTTGCTGCCTTAAGAAGGTGGACAGCTCACAAGCCAGTATAAAACAACAGCCCCAGGACTACCTGAAGGGCATTGGCAAGCTGTGCAACTTGCAAACTTGGAGCAGCAACTGCCATCAAAAGGGAGGCTGCCAAGTGGTTTGGCAGTGTATTGACATTATTTGTGTTGATGTTTTAAATTGCAGGGGATGGCAACCCAGCAATATGAACTTTTTTTTTGGCTGGGACATGTTGTGGGGTGTTTGTTGTGGTTGTAAATATTTGGTGGCCCAGGCCAAGCAAGCACAGCTGAGCCTTCAGCAGCTGCATCACTTGCATCAGTGCCTTCAAGTAACTTGAGTAGGGCTTCCTCAGAAAGCCAGGCCACTGCTTCCACAGGGCTGGCCAAGGGTGCAGCCAGGAACTCCCCTTCCATATCACCACTGGGATACATATACATGGTGCTTACTTGGTGTGCAAATATAACAATAAGTAGTTTGGGGACACTGACACTCACTTAAATGACATAATTAAATATATAGTTTAGTAGACATGACAAAAGGGTTGTGGTATGTTGGGCAGCTTTTTTTTAATAATATGAGCCATATTTCACAACATTTTGTGGCCACAGTACAGAAAGCCTTGGGCAGGCATCTACTTGGGTCATGAAGGGGCAGCACTGTCCACCAGGGCCAGCAACTTAACTTGGTGGGGGTGTGATATTGCTTTTGCAATTATCTTTGAAATCAACTAGGGTGGGGTGAGCTATTTGTTTACTGTGCTAGGCCAAAGCTAAATCTACATGGGGGTCAAATATGCAGCCAATGGTCTTTTGGGGTTCAAATTGGAGAAAATCAAGCAAATGAGTTTGGCAGTTGGGGCATCTGAGGCATTTGTCAGCACTTATGCTGGCTCAGAAACCTGGCCACAACCCAGGCAGCAAAATTTGCTTGAAGCTTTTGGCCAAGCTGCACAGGGGCACCCACAGATGGGACAGCTGCAGCAGCAACCAGCACAATCACAAGGTGGCCAGCAGATGGGCCAGCCAACACAGCACCCACCACAACATGGCCAACACACACAGCAGATGGGCCAGCCACCACAGCAGCAACAGCTACAAGTGTTTGGGCAGCAGCCACCACTACAAGGACCATGCCCAAGCACACAGCAGATGGTCCAGCCAACACAGCAACAGCCCCAAGTTTTGGGGCAGCAGCAGATGGGTCAGCCACCACAGCAGCAAGTCTTTGGGCAGCAGCAGCCACCACCACACAGTGGCCAAAGCACACAGCAGATGGGCCAGCCACCACAGCAGCAAGTCTTTGGGCAGCACCAGCCACAAAGCACACAGCAGATGATGGGCCAGCCAGCACAGCAACAGCCCCAAGTCTTTGGGCAGCAGCCACCACCACAGAATGGCCACAGCACACAGCAAATGGGTCAGCCACCACAGCAGCAACAGCCCCAAGCCTTTGGGCAACAGCCACCACCACACAGTGGCCAAAGCTCACAGCAGATGGGCCAGCCACAACAGCAGCAACAGCCCCAAGTCTTTGGGCAGCAGCCACCACCACACAGTGGCCAAAGCTCAGAGCAGATTGGCCAGCCACCACAGCAGCAACAGCCCCAAGTCTTTGGGCAGCAGCCACCACCACACAGTGGCCACAGCTCACAGCAGATGGGCCAGGCACCACAGCAGCAACAGCTCCAAGTCTTTGGTCAGCAGCCACCACTACAAGATGGCCAAAGCTCAGAGCAGATGGGCCAGCCACCACAGCAGCAACAGCCCCAAGTCTTTGGGCAGCAGCCACCACCACACAGTGGCCAAAGCTCAGAGCAGATGTGCCAGCAACCACAGCAGCAACAGCCCCAAGTCTTTGGGCAGCAGCCACCACCACACAGTGGCCAAAACTCACAGCAGATGGGCCAGGCACCACAGCAGCAACAGCTCCAAGTCTTTGGTCAGCAGCCACCACTACAAGATGGCCAAAGCTCAGAGCAGATGTGCCAGCCACCACAGCAACAGCCCCAAGTCTTTGGGCAGCAGCCACCACCACAGAATGGCCACAGCACACAGCAAATGGGTCAGCCACCACAGCAGCAACAGCCCCAAGACTTTGGGCAGCAGCCACCACCACCACAGCAGCAACAGCCCCAAGTCTTTGGGCAGCAGCCACCACCACACAGTGGCCAAAGCTCACAGCAGATGGGCCAGCCACCACAGCAGCAACAGCCCCAAGTCTTTGGGCAGCAGCCACCACCACACAGTGGCCAAAGCTCACAGCAAATGGGTCAGCCACCACAGCAGCAACAGCCCCAAGTCTTTGGGCAGCAGCCACCACCACACACTCTTGGCCCAGAGCAGATGGGCCAGCCACCACAGCAGCAACAGCCCCAAGTCTTGGGGCAGCAGCCACCACCACACAGTGGCCAAAGCTCAGAGCAGATTGGCCAGCCACCACAGCAGCAACAGTCCCAAGCCTTGGGGCAGCAGATGCAAAGCACACAGCAGATGATGGGCCAGCCATCACAGCAGCAGGAGACCCAAGTCTTGTGGCACCACAAGGTGGCCAGAAGACACCAGAGCAGCAACCAGTACAGCAGCCTGAGCAGAGTGCCACAGAAGAGCCAGGCCATGGCCAACAGCAACCACCTGGGCAGACACCACAACAACACATAGAGCAGACAGGGCAGCAGAGGCAGCAACAAGATGGTCAAAGCCCTGTGCCACAGCCACAGCAGCAGCAGCAGCAGCCTGCTGACCAAGCTGTGCCACAACCTATTCAGCAGGTGGGCCAACAAGCACCAAAGCAAAGTGGCCAGCAGCCAGATGCCACACAGAATAACCAGCAACCTGAGCAGGCTGCGCAACAGCCACCTGCAGATGGCCAGCAGAACCTATAAACCCTTGGCCAACACCTATTCTTTGTTTGCTCACACATGCTCTTTGTTTTTGTAGCCTTGGCCACATGAGGCACCAAGACCTCAGGGACATTGAGGACCTGAACAGCTACCAGTTGTCCAGAGACTTGTTCTGGGAGTCTGAGAAGAGAGTGAGGTACACCAGTGTGGGCCTAACCCCCTATGAGATTCACTGCTTGAAGGAAGACCTGCATGAGGAGTATGCACACCATGGTAAGAAGTTGGTGTCATTGTTTGGCAAACCCAAGGGGGCTGGCCAAGCAGTGAAGGCCTTGCTGAACTTGTTTAGGAAGCAACATGATTGGGGCCAAGGGGAGATGGTGAAAGTTGACACAATCCACTTTTCTGTCCTGAAGCACCAGTTGGTGGTGGCATGGTCCCAATTATATGATGACATGGAAGGAATGAGGCTGAAGTTGAACCATCCAGAAAAGGGTGTGGTGTGTGATTGTTTCCCTGCCACAGCCTTGATGCCCATGCTGTGCATCCATTCCAAGTTCACCAGAGTCCAGATGAAGGGTGGATTTGAGCCCAACATCATGGAGACCTTGTGCCCCACCTGCTCTTGGTGCATCAGATGTGGCAAGTGGCTTGGCTGCACATCCACTGGGTGGCTGCTTTGTTGAGGTTGCCACTGTTGAACAATCAGTTGCATATATATATATATACACATGTATATATATACATGTATATATATATATACATATATATATACACATGTATATATATACATGTATATATATATATATACATATATATATATACATATATTAAACACATGCATCTGCAATGAAAATAAAGCATGGGGAATATAAATAAACTGCCAGCTATGTTGTTTGCCCATTGCAGCATGGAATGAACCATGTGTACAGTGTTACAATTATGGTATCAGTGAACCACAAGGCATGGCAATGATATGGGGGTGGTGTGTTTTCACCTGTTGTTTGGGCCTGATGGGCCACAGAGAGTACTAGTTGTGTATATTATATGCATGGGTTTGTGTGTGTGTGTATGCTTGTGGTTGTTTGCATGTTGGGGTGGGTGCCTGTTTGTGTGTTTGTTTGTAGGCTTGTTTGTGTGCTTGCTTTTGTTTTATGCTTGTCTTGTGTGTCTCTGTGTGGCTTTGTCTGTCACTGTGTGCTTCTGGGTCTCTGTGAATCCCTTTGTATGGTTTGCTTTTGATTTGTGTGTGTGTGTGCCTGTGTGTCTCTCAGGATGTCACTGTGGCCTTCTGTGTCCTTGTTTGTTTGGGTGCCCTGTGCATCTCTGTGTGTCTATGGTGGTCTTTGAGTGTCTGTTCTGTGTGTCTCTGTGTTGCTGGGAGTGTGCCTGTGTATGTGTGTGTGTCTTTGCATGTCTCTGTGTGTCTGTGTAACTCTGTGTATCTGTGTGTGCCTCTGTGTGTGGTGTAGGGTAGGGGCTAAGGTGCCAGCCAGCATGTGCCCAAGTGGCCACAGTAGTAGTCACTAGGGCCAGCTTAGTAGAGGGTTACATCACCCAGCTTGTATATGTATATGTATATGTATAGGGATATGTATATGTATAGGTACAGGTGTAGGTATATGCATATGCATATGTATATGCATATGTATATGAATATTTACATGTACATGTATATGGATATGTATATGTACATGTATATGTATATGTATATAACTCTGTGTGTGGTGCATTTATCAATGGTGGTTATGTGCCTGCAATACCAATCTTGACTGTCCTGATGATATGGGCAAACAGGTTCTGCAAAGTTGCTATGGCCAAGAGCAAGGGCAACTTGGCTGCCTACAAGGCTGTTTCTGAGAAGGTGATGTGCAGCTGCAACACTGCTTCAACCTTTGGTCCATGGGCTCATTGCTACCCTTGGTGAGATGAGCACTGCCAGGCCTGCCAGCTTGCACAGGCTTTGTTCCACAGTGGCTAGATGCATGCCACCTTTCAACCCCATGATTCTTAGTGCAGGTAACTTATAATATAGCCAGTGCTGAATTGGAGTTGTGATCTGCAAACCCAGGTTGGTAGCTAATTTACTTGTCCACCATCTCAGCAGGCCTGGTGATGACCACAGCTGCACTGTGACACTGTGCAACTCAAGGCTCAAACTGGGTTGGTGACCTGTTGTTTCTGTTGTTGTTGTTGTTGTTGCTGTTGTTGTTGGCCTGCCTGCCTGCTTTGCCTCATGATGGTAGAGGAGCAGCATGTGGCTGAGGGCCAGTTGGCTGCACCAGCCCTTTCAGAGTGCATTGAGGTGGTTGCACCTGGGGAAGCGGGCCAGACAGGCCAGAAGGCATTCACTTTGCCATATGGTGTGTGCACTTTGCCAGACTTACAGCAAAGGGCCTACATCAACAAAGATGGCAAAGCTGAATGGGTTTGGGCCAGGGTGCACAGCTACTGCCAGATCCAGAAGGAACCTGGCAGAATGCTGATGCACAGCAAAGATGCACTCCTGAAAGAGCTGGGAGAGCTTCAGGTGCCTGAGGCTGGCCTCCATTACAGGGGCATGGACACACCAGCTGGTGAGTCTGACTGGAAGGACCACACTTTGGAATCCTCAACTTTGCTTGGGGCCTTGGTGTACCTCTTCAAATTGAGACAACTGAAGGAAAATGCAAAAGTCAAAGCCATGAAGCTCCTGTTGGAGCTGGCAGGGAAAGCCTTGCCATTTGCCAACCTACAGCAGCCAGTGCCTGCCATGCTCCAAAGGCCTACTGGCCCCATGGCAAGTGCCCAGCTCTTCTTCACACCCCAGGGCCTGACACAGGATTGGGGCAAGTTGCTGGCACTGTCACCAGGGGGTGCTGAGCTGTGGAAAAGGCTTGGAACCAGGACTTGGCTGAATAGATGCATTGCATCTTCCTTGGAAAATGCAACATTCCAAGATATCCTCTTCTTCAATGCCTACCTCATGTGCCACCCCAAGGTGAAAGGAAGGGGCCAACTGCTCTGGACTGCAATTGGTTCCACTACCTTGCCTGAGCTGGTCTTTCACCTAGGCACCTGGCTGGATGCCCTTGCTTTGGCCATGAAGGAGGAGCCACTTCAGATGCTGCCCATTCTGAAGACCAAAGAAGGCAATGCCAGGCTGCTGGCAGATCCAGTGAACCGCATGCTGCTTCTGTGGAAGCTTAGGAGAAGCAAGCAGCATAGGTTGGAGATAGCTGGCACACATGGTGATCTGGGTGGCAACACCATCAGAATGATGAGGTATGAAGCATATCTGGATTGCCTTTTGCACAGCAAGGCCCTTGAGTATGCTTTCAGTGGCTACAAGCAAGTCTGTGTCTCCTGGGACCCCAGCTCCTATGGTGGCAAAGACATTTTCATTGGATGCTTGTATGTGCCACAGTGCAACCAAGCTGCATACCTCATGAGCCAGCATTTGGGTGCCACCTACCTTGGAGAATTGGATGGGTCATTGCTTGAGCTGGGCCAAGCCAGAAAACTCACCAGACTTGAGGGCTACAGGGAGGTCAAAGGCCTAAGCTCATCACTGGAAGGTGTGGGGCTGTCCTTGAAGGACTTCTTTGTGCCTGAAGGACTGGTGCTCAGGCCTTTGGCTCCCCATGAGCTCAGGATTCAAGGTCCAGGTGGGAGATGGTACATCCAAAATGAAAAGACTGGAGAGACCAAACCTGAAGCCCCAGAGGACTTTGATTTTGGGGCTCTTCCTGCTCTCATCTCCATTTCAGACCAAGGGCCAGCAAACACAGCTGCACTCAACTACTTGATGTTTAGCTCCAAGGCTTTGCTTCTGTGGTCCCTATGGGACCCTTACCACAGAGCTTGGAACGACCTCAAGTTGGCCCTCAAGCGCTGTGCTGGTGATGGGTGGAGAACAGTGCTAGAACTCACCCTGGTTGCCAATATGAACTATGGCCCATTTGGAAGTGGCAGTTGGTTCTTCAAGAAGAAAGCCAAATTGCAAGACTTCCTGATGACCAGGGATGTGAACAGTCCTGCCTGGAACAACTTCCAGCATCTTATTTGTCAAGAAAGAAGGGTTTCTGAACCCAGCAATCTGGAAGAAGCACAGGAACTGTTCACTGAGATGGCTAGCCTGCAATCCTTCAACACCAAAGGCCCATTGGTGAAGCTCATGCGCTGGTTCTCATTTTTCGAGTCAATGGCATTCCTGGATGGTGAGTTTTATATGACTAAACTCATCCTTCTCCATGCTGCTGAGAAAGCAGATGCTGGCTCAGAGGCAGAGATTGATGAGGGCTTGCCACAGGAAAAAGACCACAAGAAGGAGCTTGCAGAGCTGAAAAAACGCAAGGGCACATGGAGGTTAGCCCCAAGCCTCATCAATGGCAAATCCCTTTGCATGAAGGACTGCATCATGGCCTGTGGGAAGGCAATATGGCAGAACTTCTCTGAGAGAGCAAGGGAGGCTTGCTCCCCCATGCAGGTGAAGGAGCTGAACATAGCATGTGCTCAGAGCAGGTTCTGGGCTTGTGAGCTCTTGGACATGTTGGAATCTTCTTTGGAGGAGGAGAAATGCCTGAAGCACCTCTTTCCAGAATTCCAAGGGCATGAAAGTGCCATGACCTGGCATTGTGACCTCTTGGCAAAGCTCCTGGAGACCAGGGCAATGAGCTTGGCTGTCTTCTACCTGATGCCACCCAGCCTCTACTGCCACCTGCTGTCCTATGACCCTGAGGTGTCCAGGGAAGCACATGACTTGGCGCGGAAGCATTGGGGCATGTTGCTAGCAGCTGAGGAGGCCCATGCTGCTGGTGCAACAGTCAAGCCTTTGTCCAGCATCTACTGGAGGTTCAGCCCACTCATCAGGGCTTTGTTCATGGCTTTTGAGGAAGATGCCCGCAAGTGCCTAGTGTACACCACACAAAGTCAAGCCATGAGATTGCAGCTGCTCTTCACTCAGCACCTGGGAGATTCCAGGCTGATTGAGAACATTCACCAACATGGAAGAGATCTTTGCAGGGCCAGCAAATCCAATTCCATGTCGAATGTGAGCATTATGGCCAATGTCTTGAGATGTGGTGTACTGGAGGGCAGGAAAGTCCCTATGGTTGCTGCCAAGGAGATCATGAAGGCAACTGGCATGGCCTGGCATTCCAAGAACAAGGAGCCTGTGGTTCAAAAGTTGAGAACTCATGGGAAGAAGCTGCCTGTGGAATTGCAGCAGATGATGGCACCCAACAAAAAGGGCAATGAGCAGTGGCCATCTCCAAGCCCTGGCTCTTTGTTTCAAAGCTGTTGCTCCACAGACTGGCTCTTCCATTACTTCTCAGACCAAGCTGCCACAGATGCAGATGTCAATTCTGCATGGCTTTCTTGCCTTGCCAGGCCAGGGGCCATCTTGGCACAACAATCCACTTCATCAGTGGTCATGGTCATTGCTTCTGCAGAGTACAGCTTCTTGGGTGTGGCCATGGAGGCCAAAGTGGGCTTGACATTGGAAAGGACCTTCCACTGTGTTGTGAGGCGGGATTCCATTGGCTTCCACCACATCACAGACTTGGATGATTGGTTGGAGTTGCAGGTGGAGCCTTGCCTCACCACAGCAGGAGGAACTAGGGGCCCCATTGGTTGGCGGAAGATTGCTGAGCCTCTCACCTTGGATTTAGCTGCTTTGCTGAAAGGCATCACCTTGACATTTCTGCAGCTCAAGGATTTGGTTGTGGCATTGGGGGGCTCCAAGAAAGGCATAGCTTCCAAGAAGGCTGCCATAGAGCTCCTCATCACCATGGCCTTTGCTGCTGACAAAGTGGAAGAGGTGAAGGCAATGTATGCTGCTGAAGAGGAAGCCAGGGGTGATGAGCAGATGGACTCTGATCTCTCTGAATTGGTCTCTGAGCTTGGGCAAGATGATGCCAACACCCAAGACCTCAAAGACTTGAAGGAGAAGAAGCAGGCCTACAGACAAAAGAAAGCCCTCAAGAAGGCAGAGCAGCAGGTGCTGCTGCAGGGCAAGGAGAAGTCCAGGAAGGGCAGGGCAAGGGCAAAGGAAAGGCCAAAGGAAAGGCCAAAGCCAAAGGAAAGGCACAGGCTAAGCCCAAGGAGGAAAAGCCCAAAACCTTCTTGGAAAGTGTCATCAGGAGGGCCAAAAAGCTGGCTGCACAAAGGGACCAAGGAGCAATGGCTGAGATTGTCAAGCAGGAAAGGCATGTGGAAATGGAGGTGGCAAAGGAGATGACTGATGATCCAGAACAGGTGAGAAAGGCTAAGGCTGCTCCTGCTGAGGAGGCTGATGTTGACATGAATGATCTATTTGGAGATGCTGTGCCAGAAGGCCCTGATGCAGGTGCAGCACCTTCTTCTTCGTCTGGGCCTCATCAAAGGGCCCCAAAGACTTACAAGTCACTTGATGACATCTTGGGCCTCCTGAACCCACCAGGCTGCAAATTCACCTTGAGTGGCATGGACCACAGGTTCAAGTCTGAGTGGGAGGATGACCTCCCTGAACTGGATCATCCATACAGCCAAAAGAGATTCTCTGCATCCTTTGCTAAAAGAAGAACTTGGCAGGATGCCCTGAGCCTTGTGCATGAGCGAAATTGGCAGAAATGGAACCTTGTGAAAGATGAGTATCTGCTGGGTGAAGGTGAGGAGCCACAGAAGCCTGGTGTGATTCCACAGGAATTGCAAGATCTTTTGCAGGTGGAAATTGCCAAGCTTGGGAAGCCAAAAACTTATGCCAAGGGTGCTGCTGGAGAAGATGACACCCAGATGGCAGAGTGAGGGCATGCAGGGTGGGCTGAATGAGCAACCTCTGTGCATAGCTGGTATTGCCAGGAACAATTGCTGCATGCACATTTGAAATTTGCACATTTGAAATTTTTGAGAGCAGCTTTGAGTGGCATGCAGGAAAGTGCAAAAAAAAGATGCAGTAACTTCAGTGAGACTTGCTAGGTGGGATTGCACAGAGAAGTTGGTAAACTCCATTGGGTTGGTAGACTGCCACTCTGACCCCCTTGCCCATGTTGCTGAGATGTGCTTCACCCTTGCTTGGCCCTATGCTCTTGACAAAGCAGGTGCACACCATGGGCAGTGCAAGAGGGAACTTGAGCCCTGCCCCAGCAACCCAGCTGCACTGGGATTCTGAGTGCCACAGCATGGCCATGATCAGGCTTTGAGATTCCAGCCTTGTCTTGGCTTGCTTTGGTTCTTGGCATCTTGTTGCAGGGTGGCTTGCTGGTGCATGGCTTGGGCCCCTTGCCTGGGCATGGTGGTGAACATTGTGCTTGCCTCTGGCATTGGCAGTCCTTGTCTCCTCTTGGCTTGCCTTGGTGCTTGCCAGCTTGGTGCAGGTCTTGCTTGCTTGGGCATGGCTTGAGCCCTTTGGGCTTAGCCATGGTGGTGAACACTGTGCTTGCCTCTGGCATTGGCAGTCCTTGTCTCCTCTTGGCTTGCCTTGGTGCTTGCCACCTTGGTGCAGATCTTGCTTGCTTGGGCATGGCTTGAGCCCTTTGGGCTTAGCCATGGTGGTGAACACTGTGCTTGCCTCTGGCATTGCCTTGGTGCTTGCCACCTTGGTGCAGGTCTTGCTTGCTTGGGCATGGCTTGAGCCCTTTGGGCTTAGCCATGGTGGTGAACACTGTGCTTGCCTCTGGCATTGGCAGTCCTTGTCTCCTCTTGGCTTGCCTTGGTGCTTGCCACCTTGGTGCAGGTCTTGCTTGCTTGGGCATGGCTTGAGCCCTTTGGGCTTAGCCATGGTGGTGAACACTGTGCTTGCCTCTGGCATTGGCAGTCCTTGTCTCCTCTTGGCTTGCCTTGGTGCTTGCCACCTTGGTGCAGGTCTTGCTTGCTTGGGCATGGCTTGAGCCCTTTGGGCTTAGCCATGGTGGTGAACACTGTGCTTGCCTCTGGCATTGGCAGTCCTTGCCTCCTCTTGGCTTGCCATTCACCAAGCCCTCCCACCCACCCTTGCTTTGCTGGTGTTGCTTTGTTGCTGCTGTTGTGGGGAGGGGTGGCAGTCTACAAACCCATTGGAGTTATTGGAGTTTGTTTTATTTTTAACATGTGTGGCAGCAATGTTTCCAAAGCCAGGGCTTAGCACAAGAACATTTTATTTGGTTTTGAGTGCCAGTGCCAGCAGGCCATCAACATGTGAAGAAACCTACATGCACCACTTCTTTGGGGTTTTGTGTTATGTAGGTGATTTGCCAATACAGTCAGTGAATTTGGCTTTGAACACACACAGTCACAAACCATTTGGGTCACCATGGGCTATGCTTGCCACCTGCAGGTGCTGTGGGCCTGATCTGATGAGTGCAGCCTGTGGCCAGTGGTAGCACTGGAACTTTTGACCTTCTGAGAGGGGTGAGCTACACAAATTTGAAACCTTAGTGGACAAACGCTATGTGACAACACTGTGGTGGACAATTGTGCTTTGAAGGGGGGAAAACTGCCTGTCAAGAATCTGGGTGAGTTGTTTGTGTGCTGAATTGGGGTTAGTGACTTAGTGACACATGCAACAGCCAAGGTTGGCTACTGAATGTTGTGCTGGCATTTTCTTTTATTTTCAGTGTGGGTTTGTTGCAAAGGGTGCCATACCTGAAGGGTGTTTCAAATTGTGAGTTTCTAGGGCTTTTGAGGTCATTGCAAGGCCTTTGCGCTGCTTGCACCAACCCAATGGGAATGTGATTGCATTTTCATTGGGCTGTACCTGGAATATGGGAAAGGGGTCCCTATTTTGAAAGTCAACATGTCCCTTCTGCATTTTTTTGGGTGTTTTGGTTTATTGCAATCCCTCTGCATCAATCCAATGGAATGAAATTTGTTTTACAAGAGGAGTTTTGTATGTTTTTGCAAATGAAATATGTGAAGGGGTTCCCATTTTCAAAGCCAACATGTAATTTTTATTTTGTTTTGTTCTTTTGGTGTTGTTGCAATCCCTCTGCATCAATCCAATGAGTGACATTGTTTTTACAAGAGGGGTTTGGCATTTTGTTTGGGATAGGCATGGAATATGTGGAAGGGGTCACCATTTTCAAAGCCAACATGTAATTTTTATTTTGTTTTGTTCTTTTGGTGTTGTTGCAATCCTTCTGCATCAATCCAATGAGTGACATTGTTTTTACAAGAGGGGTTTGGCATTTTGTTTGGGATAGGCCTGAAATATGTGGAAGGGGTCACCATTTTCAAAGCCAACATGTAATTTTTATTTTGTTTTGTTCTTTTGGTGTTGTTGCAATCCCTCTGCATCAATCCAAGGGGTGCTTGCTTGTGTTTTGTGCAGGTTTTTTTTAGGTTTTTTTTAGGTTTTTCAAGGCAATGTTGGGATTTTTGTTGTTTTGCATAGGTTTTAATAGAAAATCATAGGAAACTATAAGTTTCATATATATTAGACCCTATGTTGAAGAAACACTCTCTTGAAGAAGCACTTCAAGAGATGCAATGAATAAAGACGTGCATATGTTTTTTTTTAATGCACACATACCTTTTAAATATGTCCGTCGTCAAGATCCTCTCATCACGGTTGACGATGATAGGGGGGTTGTAACCTACCCTTTATACTTTGGATATTCTCATAATCCATTTTCAATGGAATCTGGTTCTTAACTTCAATGGAAATATTGTTCTTAACCAGGATGAAATTGACATGGCTGATGTTGAAATGTGTTGAATACTTGCAATGTCTTGAAACTTAAGCTTTACATATATCAGGGTAAATTTCATCACGACCTCACTGTTCTCCCGAAGCCTGGAATCATGGGAATTGGATTCGGGAAATCATCCCCAAGTGAAGATTTCAGGTTAGTGAAATATCATAATTTACCCAGATATATGGTTCCTGCAATATCCATTTTTTGGTCCCATTTTTTGGTGCCATTTTTTGGTCCCAGGATACAGATGGAGACGGCTGCTTGTCCTCGGAGCAGCTGCTGAAAATGCACGCACAACACGGGGAGGGGACCTCTCGTCCCATTCTTTGGTCGAGATCTTTTTTCGGTGTAGGATGGTGTAGGATGGTGGAACACTTTTCTGATCTGTTTCTGATGAACATTTACTGATTCTGAAGCGGATTTAGTCTAGCCAAGCGAACGGTTCAAGGGTGGAAGCTTTTGCAAGTTCTGTTATATAGGATGTTTGGTCCTGTTTGGTCATATCCCCGATGAAGGGTATCTACTGGAAGCCATTGGCAAAATGATCTGGATACATTTGAGATGCGGTTTGATAGGACTATTAGGTAGGAGCATTCAGGCATTTAAGGATGAAGGGTGAGAATGGCATTTTTTTCCAGCCAAAATGGGTCACCTGACCATAAAATCGCATAAAATATTGAAAATTGACCCATTGATAGTTGAACATGGTTCATTTATAGTTGACCTACCTATGATTTTCCATAGTCAACTATATAATTACTATATATATATATATATATATATACATACAAATGAATCATGTTCATAGTCATTTTTATAGTGACCTATGAAGGGCCGTGATTTTCTATCGTCATTTTTATAGTGACCTATGAAGAGCCGTGATTTTCTATCGTTCATCCTGTGGATCAGCTTGCATTCCAACTCCATAGGAGCACCATTTGAGGAACTGTATTTACAAACAACATCAAGCAACATCAAATGTGTCTATTAAGTAAATAACTATGAATATATGTATGATTATGTGTAGATATCTACATGTTTTGTTCATATGCATATATATATATATATAGACAGATGGATGTATATGAACCTACATATATCATAGTACTGATTTGTTAAAGACAATGATTGATACGACCAGGTACTGTAGCCTCATCATCCACGCTGCCATCGCACGCGGCGACCAGCCCTCGTATGATGCAGCCTGGAACTCAGGGACGAACGACAGCGGTGAACCGGCCATTGGAATTTCTGTCTGAGAAATGAGGGGAAGAGTCACAACTACCATTGTTTAAACATGTTTAACACTTGATATGATTGATATGTATATACATGTATATATATATATATCCTAAATATGGTTTGATCCAGACCCTCCGTTTTAACCGTCAAACATGTGGTATTGTGGGGATAGAATGGGATTGTTTTTTATGGTACTATTATGGATAAAAAAAACTTCACGACCTACGTCGCAAAAATCACAAAGGAATGGAGGGGATTTGTACCCAGAGAAGCTGGGATATAAAGCCTATAGCTAACAAACTAACAACTACCCTCTGGTATGGAAACTGGCACATAGAAATAGTTGATTTACCCATTTAAAATGGTGATTTTCAATAGCTATGTTAAATAACCAGAGGGTATGGTGATCGTACCACTTATTGTTGGAACTGCAGCCCCACGTCCAAGTGTGGCCAGACAATTTATATCACTTTCAATCATCCACCTCGGACAGGCCGATCATCAATCCAACCAACTTGGGGCATGGCATACTTGAATGGAAGATCGGCTGTGAATTCGTAAATGTTCATTTGTTTGGTTCGAGCACCGACATTCGCGCGCGGTAAAAAGAGAGAAGTTGTAGGAGGCATTACCCATAGACCCTGCTCAGGATCTCTAAAGATTCACCAAAAACCATACTCTGATCCATTTCAAGATTTGTTTTTTCCCAGGCACAGAACAGGATCATGGAATCATGGCATAGCTTAAGTGAGTAGAAGGCAACGTGAAAATCAACGTGGCATGGCAGCCATGGCATCAGCCTTCGCATCCCCGGTGTCCGTGGCCAGTGCCGGACGCAGCGCGACCGGCGCGACCCGCGCGACCCGCGCGACACTCGCCAGCCGCGGCGCAGGCGGTGTCGCCGTGGCGGATGAGACAGGCACGTGCCACGGAGATTGTTCTGCGGAAATCGAAACATGGCTGGAAAATCCCCCAACTGGAGCTTTAGAAATATATAGAAATATGGTTTCATAATGTTTAATAGTTGGCAATGCTCCAAACATGATGATTTTCCAGCCATTTTTCATGACCGGAGGGTAAATACAACCAACATCAACCAACTCGTGATGTACTGTCTGCGGCAGAGAAATGCTCTGGGTGGGTATGACCTGTACTTTTAATACTTTTAAGACTTTCCATCCATTGGCAAAGATTGGGACACCATTTTTTTTAGCTATTTCGCTGTTTTGCGGGATGTCAAGCTATTTTTGAGTGGTTTGTTCACAGTCTAATGAGGTGATGGGGTTGGTACTCACCTGGATGTCCCAACACGCCACCAGCCCCACCAGCCCAGCACATCCAATTGGCAATCTGCTGGGCGCCAAAACCTGGGTAGCGGGTAGCTGGTATTTTACAGTTTCAAATCCTTAGTGCTCCAAATCCAATTTTGACACTGTCCAATTGGAGCAGCTGGCCAGAAACTCATCGCCAACGTGAGTTTCTGGGTAGGCCAATGGCCGGGTATGTCGCACGCGGCGTCTTGATAGAAGACGCCAAATCCCAACAAAGCAGCTCAGTGATGACGATAGAATCTATGGAGTGGCCAGAATTTTGCGGACCCCGTTTTTGCCAACACCAGCCACCAGCAATCAAGAACTTGCAAAAGCACGGTAGTAAGCCCTAGACTCCAGACTAGACAAACAACTTGGACACCAGGAAAAATACGTGGCATCTGCATTCCAAAATCATCCAAAATCTGCAACATCCTGAACAATAACTATTCAACTATTCTATTTTTTGGGGGGAAGAGGCTCAGACAAATCTGAGAACAACATAGGCGGATGGTGCACCTTTCCAGCCTACCACACATCGGCCTTTTTCGGAGGTTGGCATCCAAAGTTGGCCGCGACCGCGGCGCTGGCGGTGACGTTTTCCCTTGGAAAACGTGGAAAACGGGCGGCTGTGAGACCAAAGGTGGGGGATGATGCCACCGAAATGTTGAGCTACTAAGCCAGGCTTGCAACAAAGTGGACATACAACCATTAAAAGGCAGTTTCCTGAAATGAGGGTACCCACAAATCATCCATAATCATCCATTTTATTTGTGTTTTTTCCATGAAATAAACCATCCAGCTATTGGGGTATCCCCGATGACTATGGAAGCCCCCAAATATACCATTGATATTCCATTAATTAATGTGTAGTACGGCCTTTTGGGTGACTTTCAACTTCGATGAACCATGAATCGTGTAGGTCTTTTGCCGGGCGACCAACATCTTTGAGCGCTCCTCTTTAGAGGCTTCCACTCTGCACTGGGTGATCTGGGTGATTTTGAAAGGGTAAACACATGGTTAAAACTGCCGAAAGCTGCCAACAAAAATCAGCGATTGATACGGATATGTCATGCTATTTGGCTAACGAACTTAAATGACGTTGTAAGTATTTGTATAGTAAGTTGTAAGATATAAGTTGCAAAGTTTTGTCAAATATCTTGGCTGCTTGGTGCAGATTCTTTATGTTCCGAGCAGACGGGGAAGAGAGGACAGCCCCACAAATTACGTCAATGGGGAACCAATGGGGGCGCAGCAACCTTCTCCTGTCCTCACCTCCAAGCTTTCATTTCCAGCTTTGTCTTGTTCCTTCGCAGTGTATCGCAATGTAATGCACACGCAATATCACATAATGTGGTATATGATGGTGTATATATATATACATATATATATATATACGTATATATATATATATATATACACGTATAATATGATATTATCAATATATGCAGATAATCCATTATATATATATACAGTATATGAATACATAGACGTACCATTTGTGTTTGCTAAATCTTGGTGTTTGTAAACCTTCAGGGGAAAATTCAACACGTCAATGTTTGCTGCTGACCAGGCAGGAGCTAAGTTGTTGGAGGAAGCAGTGAAATCTTCCAATGGGTCGCTTGGCAGCTTGCTAAATGGGAATGCACCAACCAAACCTGAGGATTGAACCAGCTTTTTAAATGAAGGCTTTTCACATGACAGGCAGGAATAGAATGGAGATCTAATTATCAAACATCAAGATTTAACCAACCAAGTTTTGGTGATATAGTGTTTTATCATAATAGTGTATATAATATATATATATATACATATTATATATACATATTATATATATATGGACACACCAGAAGGACCTCACTAAGACTGCACTGGAAGGATGGGAATTAGAGTGGGCAAATGATCCCCGGCCGCTAGTTTTAATCCATGGAAACGGAGGGTTAAAATTGGCTGTTTCAAATTGGACCAGAGTAAAAGGTCCATTTGAATTTTGACCCAAGTACGACAGTAAACCAGAACGCAGCTGAATAGTCGGATTGTCAATCGGCCATTATGCATGCTGACTTTTGATGAATTTTGGATGTTATGTTTGGACACCCAGTGCTGTTGCCAGTCATTATTGTGGGAATTGTGTGAGATCTATGGTGAAAGTTTGAGGAAATTGAAGCTATCTCTGGGTGCCATATGGGGTTGTCTTATAAACATTACTATTTCTCCCATCCTAAGAGAACCCAAATGATTATTTGGAATCTTGGATGTCTAAGTCAAGGTGCCAGGCACGGTATGGCGAAAGCCAATGGGAATGTACATATCTTTACAATGGCTCTGCCCCCAGCAGGCACGCTTTCTTTCAACGCTTGTCTTATAAAAACCTTAGGCATTCTTAGGCCACTCGATTTGCCGCTGAAAAATGGAGGTACTGTATGGTACTGTGCAAATCAAGAGGCAAAAAATGGCCAAAACGAACCTTCGTATTTTGTCCTTCATAAGCCAGCGTTCCCGGGTCGACCGGGCATCCTGGAAGCTGGGCCACCGGCATCGTCGGCAACATCGGCGGCACCTGCAATTGCCGTCATGGATGAGTATTTTTTTTGGAGGGGTAGCAAGCAGGTTGTTTAAAAACGGAGGTTGAAGTCATTGGAAAAGATCCCTCGTGAAACTGCAGAAAATGTGGAGCCACCATGAGGTCTCCATGCGAATAGGCATGGGAATAGTCAAGTTGTGCTGAACCGGCAGGCTGAAATGCAGATCACTGGTTCTCTTCTATGGTGGTTAACTGGTCACTACATCACTGTTTTCTTGTCCCATTTTGCAAACTTGGTAGAACTGGTCCCTGTTTGTTTCTGGATCCGAAACTGGTTAATAGATTGGATTTGGGTGGTTTGTACTGAAACTATCTCAATAATTCTCAATATGTGTGGTTAACATTGGGGGTCCGAGTCCACTTGGCCGGCAAAACAAGATGATTCGTAAAGAAAGATTGATGAGCAACCATCTTGTTTTATGTCAACTTAAATACTCGTTGCTTTACATGTGTTTTAAACTTCAATTCCCGGAAGTCAGAAATATGCAGTCTCCTACCATCCAGTCGTCTCAGGAGCAATCCTACTGAGCGTCTTGGCTTGCGCTTGAGAGGAATTGAGCGAAAACCCTAAGACTTCCAAAGAGTCAACATTTATGGCTTCGATTTATGGATATTTTAGGATAGAGTATTTGATATTAATTATAGATCTTTGGGTCAAAAACTTTAGCCCCAAAGATTATCGTATCAAGAAATTAAGTGCTGTAGCGAGAAAGCCCAGACATGTTTTGATCCAAATGATTCGCCACAAAGTGGCCAATCTGGAATCATCTGCGCCCATGTAGCCTCCAGTAAACGTTTACATAGATGTGGAAAACCTATACGTTTATTATTTCTAGACGATTTTCATCATCAAACCATAGGTTATAAACCTTTAGTGTAAATCCAGATTCCAAGATTCTCTGCTTCTTCCTGGCCACTTCTTAAAGAACAGCTGGGACGCAACGCGGCAATCGACAGCCGAACAGCCAGCCAGCCTTTCAGGTTTACCAGCTTTAGCGAAGAGAAGAATCGCCAGTCCTACGTCTCACAACAAGCTGCCCTGGAAGGCTTGGAGGACTGACGGGAGACGACGGGATGTTTGTCCTGGTTGGAGGTTTCTCAAATAAGTTAAGTTGCTTCTCAAAAAAACACTTGCAAATGATATTGGTTGCAAGTTGTATTTCTTTGAATGTTTTGGGATTTTCCCGGTTCAAGTTGCAATTTCTTTGAAATACATCTATTTTAAGACACACCAATCTATGGAAATTCTATGATTCTTGTTCACTTTCAAACGTTTTGGAACTTTGAGATCAGAACTCAGAGTTTGTCGATAAATCGCATGAGTTGGTACCGAAGTTTTGCACAGATTCGCACAGGACGTGAATGGAGTGGATGATGATGGCCTTCCCTTGGTCTATTCTGTGGAACGTGGCCGGGTTGATGTGAGGGAACTCCACCAAGACGGATAAACCACAGGAGTGATATAGGAGTCTTGTTTCTTCGCGGATAGGAAGAAAAGTAGGTCAATCTTGAAGGCATCAACTTTGTGATCGATTAATTAAAAAACAACATTCATATCATTGAACATGAACCTTGCATATTCGTTGTATTTCGATTTATATTTTCATGATCAATGCTGGCATATCCGGTGTTCCAATCCGAATATTTGTGGGCAGGTCAGAGTTTGGGTCTGCACTGACCATGGGTGATCTGAAAATATCTGAAATACTGCTAGGTGACGTGGTTGGGACATTGACATAAACCATCTCATTGGTGCATGTGATTGGATGAACAGATTGGACACCGTTATATAGATTGTTTCTATATTCATATATATATATATATGTGTCTATATCACAACAGGAATTCAATCTACATATCCTAACAGTTTGTTTCTTGATCTGATTTGTTTCATGAACAATATCCTAACACTTGAAAGATGTTGAAACTTTGAAACTAGAATTTCGAGCCACGAAAAGCTTAGGCCCAGGCAGCGTAGGAATTGGGCCAGTTTTGCCTTTTGGGCATCGTCCAGGGCCTAACCGCAGATTCTACCGCCTGAGGCATTGCAAACTTCTGGGTGTCTTCGACAGCACTTATTGCAATGACCCATGCTGGGTGCCGGTTCGCACACGGTTCGCACAAGGGAACTCGCTTGGGGTCATGGCTTTACAGCTGGGGGTCATGGTGAAAAAATCTGTTGAACTTACTCCCAAGTTATTGTTTAGTTTGAGAAAATATCTCAAGTCTAGTCCGTGAAGCTCAATGTTTTTTTTTTCTGAACAACTTGGGAAAATCTCATTCCATATTCGTTAACCATCATGTTCATTTAGGCAATGCCTATTCTTCAATGGCCATAGCCGGGGGAAATCGTGATAATCATGTTGAACCCCATTCCATCGATTGGTTATGCAATCATCATGATGCTTATGAAAATAACATAAAATCATAATCATGTCCCATTAAATCCAATGAAATGCCATGTGGGGGGTTTGGTCCCCATTTTCAGACACCTGATAGGGTGAAAATCCCGATAGGTTGGCGTGGTCACAGTTGCAGTCGGAGTCCAGAGTATGTCAGAGTCATTTTATAGATTGCATATGTTCATATATGTTCATACATACACGAAATAGCAGGATTGTTACTTTTTCTTTTTTGAAATACTTCAAGAGGTGGGCGTTGAATCCACTTTTCAATCACGTGTCCCTGAAAACGGTAGGGATAGAGTCTCAATGAATCCAATTCATAGATATGAACATAGGGATGTTCATCACTTGTAGATAGGGTTTTAACATCTGGGAGTCAAGCCCAACCCATGATTCTCATCATTTTAGTGGGATGTTCACATCCATAAATCATATTAAATCTGCGGTTGGGAAACTTGAACAGAGTACCACTGCACCCCCACTAAGGTCTTTTTAAGTTTTTCACAGTCGTTGAGACGTCCTCCGACTGTTGCAATTTGGCTCAAGGCTCAAGGCTCAAGCCATTCAATTGGCTCAAGGCCAATCAACCAACTGGCTCAATTTACCGAGCCCAATCTGGAGTGAAAGGTGCAGCAGCATCTGCCTCTTGGTGGGGACCTCCGGGACGGGACTCGGTTGTAGTCTGACTTTAGAACCCGTGGGTTATGAGCCCAACCCCAACGCTGCCCTGAAGCCATGTCGAGCAGCGACTTCACTCAGCGTCGTCGACAAGAACATCAAGGTCAGGCGGCTGCTCGTGCTGAGGAAGAACGCGCGGAAACGGCAGATGAAAAACTGGATCGGCTTCTGGAAGAGATGAACACACCTGGAAAAGAACATGGGGAAAAAACAGGGACAAGATCATCAGACTCGACCCGAAGATCACTGACGGGAAAGGTGGGAAAGGGAGTTGGAGAAAGGGGAATGGCACTGACCGGTGCTGGGGGAAGTGGAGCCCTAGCGCAGGTTGTGGCGGTCCGAGCTGGAGCGGGCGAACAAATTGCCCAGAATCCGGCTGTTGCGGAAGAAGTCGCAAGACCAGTGTCCTTACCACCTGAAGAACCTCCTGGACTTGAAGTGGTACGAGGAAAAGGGAATGGTAGTCTGTTGTCTGGTTTGACCCCAGGTGTGAATAGTCTAACTCTTTCGGGAGTGCCAATGACACAAACACCAGTAGTTGCCCGGATGTCTGAGGGATTTCGTGGACCACCTGTTGTGGGTAATCGAGAAGAAGGACAGGGTGGAAAACACCAAAGCTCAACTGAAGTGGGTGGAGGTGCGGCTACTGTTGTGGAAACAGTTGCTCTTTTGGAGAGACCGGGACGTTCACCTGTTGAATCTCCTGAAGATGCACGTATCAAACAAGTGGTGCCAGCGGCGCCAACAAGTCCACCTGTGGCCTGCCAGCCAGCGGGAGCATATGTGGTGTATACCGCAACTGGTGAGGCACAGGGTTTGCAAGCAGCTGGGATGTCCCAGCAATCAATGTGTGCTGGTGTGCCACCTACGGGAATGGCACCTCAGTGGGAAACTGCAGTTGTGGATCCTGGGATGGTAACTGGGGTTATGGCTGTAGAAGAAATGAATCCCTGGAGTGCTGCAAAGCGAGTGGAAGCTCTAATGAGCAGCCCGCAAACTCCAGTGAAGGAGCCGACTTATCCCGTAGTATCGCAAGACCTGATTGATCAGGCTGACGCCAGGGAGAAAGAAAAGTTTGAAGAGTTGAAACAACATGTAATGGAAGTCCTTCAGCGGGGCAAGACTGAGATCCAACAAGATCGAGAAAATTGGTTAGCCACGCGGGAAGAGAGACGTGCCCTAGAAAGGGTCCAAGAAGCAGGAGGAGGTCACAAGGGCTCTCAATCAAGTGGGAGGTCTTATCAAACCGCCTCTCCGGAGCAAAAGAATGTCGAGCAGTGTTTTCCTGTGGGGCCATCTCAAGGTGTTCCACCCCAAGGACAACCTGTACAAGATCAAACAGTTCCGGGAGTTCAACATCATCACGATCAGGATCTTCAAATGAAGGCGGGAGGTCCGTTGTGGAATGTGCCTCCTGCGCCCAGGGTCGAACCATGTCTTCGGCCGATGGATGTGTATATGAATCAAGGGTGGCTGAATGGAATACCACCGGGAGGTATGCCGCAGGGAGCGGCGTCAAGACCACCGATGGGAGCTCCTTGCATGGGAGCCACGGAAAACACAAGACACTTTTTCATAGGTGATCAACCTAATCAATGGTATAATCCTCAAGCCCAAGTTGGAGGAGCACCTGCAGGACAAGATCAACGACCTCAAGGAGGTTTTGCATTTCCGGGTGGAAACACCGGACCTATGGGTGGGTATGGTTGGCCGAGGGGTCCACCGCCAGGGCAGTATGGAAATCCGGGACAAGCGCCTGGTCCGCCAGGTGGTCATCAGGGAGATCCAGGTCCGCCAGGTGGTCATCAAGGAAATCCAGGACAAGCTGTACCGCCACCAACAACAAGCTGTAGTCCAAGCAGGACCTCAGGCAGGGGGAGAAGTACCAGGCGAAACGCTAAGGTCGGTCGAATTGCCGAAGCTGGACAGGAATGCAGCATCTTTGGACTTTGGAGACTGGCTGACAGTTGTCCAACAGATGATTGGGGATGTGAGCTACACCTCAGCGCAATGGTGGGGAGTAGTGATGACTGCTGTTGAACAAGCATACCATCACTGGTTGCAAGCGGATCCACTCATGAGGCTCCGGATGGCGCCTGTGATACCTGACATGGCCCGTGGGTGGCCTCGCACAGAGAACCGGGTGGTGGGTATGCTGCTTCAAGCTGTCCCCAAGGACATCTGCGAGGACCTTGTGGCGAACAGACACATGTCAGCGGGTCAAGTCATGTTCAAGCTGTACACCGTCTTCCAACCTGGAGGACAAGTGGAAAGAACTTCTCTACTACAAATGTTGGTGAACTGGAAGGGTCCATCCAATAATGCTGCAGAGATGGTCAACTCCATCCGGAAGTGGAGAAGATGGGTGGTTCGTGCCGAAGAACTTCAATTAGTTTTACCCGATCCTCTGGTTTTGGCCGGAGTGGTCGCAAAAATGAGTGATGCACTAGCCAGGTTGGGGGGAGCTCAGGCTGCATACCGGTTGTCCTCGGTGAGACAGCATTTGGGCATAGATCTCCGGCCGGGAATGCAAGAGATCAGAACGTTTTCTGAACTTCTTCAAGCAGAAGCTGGTGAAATGGCTCTCCGTCAACCGGGGAACACAACACAGGGCCCAACGACTAAGCCCAACAATGTGGTAGGGGTGAAGTCTATGAGTGGACCGGATCAATCTGGAAATCAACCAAAGGGCGGTTCAAAAGGAAAACAAGATGATGCAGCTGGCTCTTCAACCGGAAGAAGGGGGGAGAAACCGGAGCTGCCAATTAATGCGGCGAATGTGGTCCACAAGACTGCGTGCGTCAACTGGTTGACCGATAGGGGGTGCCGATATGCAGAACGATGCCGGTTTGTGCACACCGTCTTGGACTCCAAAGATGGCCGATGCTTCAACTGTTCTGGAAAAGGGCACTCCAAGCGTGAGTGTGCTGCTGGGAAAAGAAGTGAGTCACGTGAACCAAAAGGGGGGTCAGTAGGAGAAGGAGATGCGGGCGCACCGGAAAGCGTTGAAGGTGGATTGGATGAGGCGGAAACTGCCGCGCAAATCACTCCGGAAAATGAAGAAGTGATTCAAGAAGTGAACCATCTCCTGAAAAGCATTACTGGACCCATGCTGAAGACCATTGGTAAGAGAGCGGAATGTGGACCGTGCGAAGCGAAAACCGTAAAGGTCACTCCAAAAAATTCTATCAATCCCGGACCCGAACGAGCCGCTCAAGCGGTTCACCAGCAGGCTCCAAGTCCAAGGTTACTTGAGCCCTGGGAAGTTATGTAAGCAAAAGTGCAAGCTACTCCTGTAGCCATGTCAACTTGGTACTGGGGTTCCCGTGGGTCTGTAAACTTTGATGTGTCTCAGGTCTTGTCTGACACATGGCATATCATGGCATGTTTCTTGCCTTGCAAGCCTCTGAACTTTGAAATGGTGGCCTGTTGTGGCGTGCTGGTAGCTTTGCCAGCCACCTTGTGCCATTAAATTGTGTTGAAACTTGTTCTCCCACCCGCCCGCCTTCGAAGAGTCTTTACGCCCCCCCACCCACCCCACCCACCCCACCCACCCTCACCCACCCCACCCCACCGCCACCCCCCCACCCCACCCACCCCCCCCTACACTTCCATTCTGAGCATTACAGATTTGATGTCATGAGACTGCGTCACTGAGTTGATGGACTTTTGTGCAACATGGTGGTGGCAGCAAAAGCGAAGTGACATGCAGTCGTACACCGTGCTACAGCTTCGTGTGCTGATGCTAAGTTCTGACTACATGCATGCAAACTCTAACGCTATATCACATCAAGCATGGGGCTACCTTAATTCAAGGAGTCTATCTTAACTCAAGGGGGCTTTGCAAGAACACATGGTTTATAAACAAACAAGTGGTTTATAAACTGACATTTTTGTTTCCCATGGGGCCCCCAACCGTTGTGAACCCATAACCACATATAGATATAGTGTGTATATATATCATATATATGTAAATATATGTGTTCATATATAAATATAGGTATACATATATGTATATGATATATGTCATATATATGTATTAATCTATGGTGTTTTTTTTAAAACAAAATAATTAAAAACAAAAAAATATTGCATATGTATATATTTGTTTACATATAGGGCTAGGTGGACCTATCTTGTTTGCAAGTGTGTTTATAAATACAAACTGTACAATGCGATGCTGTAGATTAGCTGCATCTACAACCTATATCTATGGTTTCAAATCAACAAAAAACACCAAGATGTCCCCATGTTGATGGGTGAAACACCATGTTCCCAGATATTTCCCAGTTCAAACCACCATCTTTATCACCCCCAGCCACTTAGGGTAGGCATTGCCCATGATCTTCCAACTCATCAAACCGAAACTATTATACGACAAACACATCTATGTTTTTTGGTGTTTTATCCATGCATCAATGCATTCGACTGCATACAATATGTTTCATGTTTTTTGCCATGTGGGGAAATGGACATCAAACTTGCAACTGGCCGCCCCCCAAGAAACCGCAAGTTCAAGATGGTGGAACCGAACCATCTCGGATCACTAAACGGCATTTCAGTGACATGGGCTGGAAACATGTCCATTTTTGGAATGTTCATCACTTGATATCCAGGCATAGGTTTCTGAAACTGCAATCAGCTATACATGAAGATACATGTACCAAGATGTTCATTGTTTCTCAGAAACATTCTAATTATCTATAGGAAAATCTCCTCATTCAACTGTCCATGAAGCGGAACATACCAATTTGTTTTCATCAGGATTTTCACGCGGGTGCTTTGAACAAAGATTTTGCTGTGAAACCAATGGGATGGATCGGCCATGTTTCCAGCTGGCCACTGCAGGCTCATGGTGGCACTGGTGTGACAGTTTGCTGACATCATCTCGAGATATGGGTGGTACAATCATATAATCATATATTGACTTTGCACATATGCCCCCATACATATACCCATTGAACCCCACTGGTAAGTTTTAAGTGTCTGGGGCAACAACGCAGGCTTTGGTGGCATTTGATGACATTTCCAGTTGGCCACTGCAGGCCTGGTATTGCTGACAACATGGTGGAGGTTTCCCATGGGTATTTTCTTAAATTGGATGGTTTATCTTGGACAAACCAGTAAAGGAATGCATGTACAGGATTGTTGGGAACTATTGTCAACACAAATTGTAGAAACCTTCTAGTTGGAAAATCAATGATTTCGGAGGATGGATTTGGCTGGGACCTATTGTCAATTATCAACACAAATTGTGGAAACCTTCTAGTTGGAAAATCATTGATTTCGGAGGTGGTTTTTTGGAATATCAAAACATGTTGTCTGCCACCAACTACGCAACGGACGGTTCGCGCCCAAAATCACGAAGATCCATAGGATTCCTCAGATGCCGGCCGAATCACAAATCATTTTAAGTCTCGAGGGCCTAGAGCATTGGGTTTGAAACCACAACATCATCAAACCTATATCATACTGTGGATGGAAGAAATCCTGCACCAGTTGGTAACTATTGGGAACTATAAAACATTGTAAATAATGGGATTACAATGGGATAAACCATCTATTAACTGGTGCAGGATTTCCTCCATCCACAGTATGTCATATTGTTAAATTATGTTAAGGATTTTTGGCTCTGAAGTTTCGGTGACGTGGGTGCCATGGCATTGTCCAAGAGTTGTACGGCTAGTTCGCTATTGCATGGCCGGCCACTTGCCGAGTGGAAGACATGGTGGGGAGGGGACCTTGCAAAATCCATGCTGTGCATCCATTCCAAGTTCACCAGAGTCCAGATGAAGGGTGGATTTGAGCCCAACATCATGGAGACCTTGTGCCCCACCTGCTCTTGGTGCATCAGATGTGGCAAGTGGCTTGGCTGCACATCCACTGGGTGGCTGCTTTGTTGAGGTTGCCACTGTTGAACAATCAGTTGCATATATATATATATATATACACATGTATATATATATATACATGTATATATATATATACATATATACATATATTAAACACATGCATCTGCAATGAAAATAAAGCATGGGGAATATAAATAAACTGCCAGCTATGTTGTTTGCCCATTGCAGCATGGAATGAACCATGTGTACAGTGTTACAATTATGGTATCAGTGAACCACAAGGCATGGCAATGATATGGGGGTGGTGTGTTTTCACCTGTTGTTTGGGCCTGATGGGCCACAGAGAGTACTAGTTGTGTATATTATATGCATGGGTTTGTGTGTGTGTGTATGCTTGTGGTTGTTTGCATGTTGGGGTGGGTGCCTGTTTGTGTGTTTGTTTGTAGGCTTGTTTGTGTGCTTGCTTTTGTTTTATGCTTGTCTTGTGTGTCTCTGTGTGGCTTTGTCTGTCACTGTGTGCTTCTGGGTCTCTGTGAATCCCTTTGTATGGTTTGCTTTTGATTTGTGTGTGTGTGCCTGTGTGTCTCTCAGGATGTCACTGTGGCCTTCTGTGTCCTTGTTTGTTTGGGTGCCCTGTGCATCTCTGTGTGTCTATGGTGGTCTTTGAGTGTCTGTTCTGTGTGTCTCTGTGTTGCTGGGAGTGTGCCTGTGTATGTGTGTGTGTGTCTTTGCATGTCTCTGTGTGTCTGTGTAACTCTGTGTATCTGTGTGTGCCTCTGTGTGTGGTGTAGGGTAGGGGCTAAGGTGCCAGCCAGCATGTGCCCAAGTGGCGACAGTAGTAGTCACTAGGGCCAGCTTAGTAGAGGGTTACACCACCCAGCTTGTATATGTATATGTATATGTATAGGGATATGTATATGTATAGGTACAGGTGTAGGTATATGCATATGCATATGTATATGCATATGTATATGAATATTTACATGTACATGTATATGGATATGTATATGTACATGTATATGTATATGTATATAACTCTGTGTGTGGTGCATTTATCAATGGTGGTTATGTGCCTGCAATACCAATCTTGACTGTCCTGATGATATGGGCAAACAGGTTCTGCAAAGTTGCTATGGCCAAGAGCAAGGGCAACTTGGCTGCCTACAAGGCTGTTTCTGAGAAGGTGATGTGCAGCTGCAACACTGCTTCAACCTTTGGTCCATGGGCTCATTGCTACCCTTGGTGAGATGAGCACTGCCAGGCCTGCCAGCTTGCACAGGCTTTGTTCCACAGTGGCTAGATGCATGCCACCTTTCAACCCCATGATTCTTAGTGCAGGTAACTTATAATATAGCCAGTGCTGAATTGGAGTTGTGATCTGCAAACCCAGGTTGGTAGCTAATTTACTTGTCCACCATCTCAGCAGGCCTGGTGATGACCACAGCTGCACTGTGACACTGTGCAACTCAAGGCTCAAACTGGGTTGGTGACCTGTTGTTTCTGTTGTTTCTGTTGTTGTTGTTGTTGCTGTTGTTGTTGGCCTGCCTGCCTGCTTTGCCTCATGATGGTAGAGGAGCAGCATGTGGCTGAGGGCCAGTTGGCTGCACCAGCCCTTTCAGAGTGCATTGAGGTGGTTGCACCTGGGGAAGCTGGCCAGACAGGCCAGAAGGCATTCACTTTGCCATATGGTGTGTGCACTTTGCCAGACTTACAGCAAAGGGCCTACATCAACAAAGATGGCAAAGCTGAATGGGTTTGGGCCAGGGTGCACAGCTACTGCCAGATCCAGAAGGAACCTGGCAGAATGCTGATGCACAGCAAAGATGCACTCCTGAAAGAGCTGGGAGAGCTTCAGGTGCCTGAGGCTGGCCTCCATTACAGGGGCATGGACACACCAGCTGGTGAGTCTGACTGGAAGGACCACACTTTGGAATCCTCAACTTTGCTTGGGGCCTTGGTGTACCTCTCCAAATTGAGACAACTGAAGGAAAATGCAAAAGTCAAAGCCATGAAGCTCCTGTTGGAGCTGGCAGGGAAAGCCTTGCCATTTGCCAACCTACAGCAGCCAGTGCCTGCCATGCTCCAAAGGCCTACTGGCCCCATGGCAAGTGCCCAGCTCTTCTTCACACCCCAGGGCCTGACACAGGATTGGGGCAAGTTGCTGGCACTGTCACCAGGGGGTGCTGAGCTGTGGAAAAGGCTTGGAACCAGGACTTGGCTGAATAGATGCATTGCATCTTCCTTGGAAAATGCAACATTCCAAGATATCCTCTTCTTCAATGCCTACCTCATGTGCCACCCCAAGGTGAAAGGAAGGGGCTAACTGCTCTGGACTGCAATTGGTTCCACTACATTGCCTGAGCTGGTCTTTCACCTAGGCACCTGGCTGGATGCCCTTGCTTTGGCCATGAAGGAGGAGCCACTTCAGATGCTGCCCATTCTGAAGACCAAAGAAGGCAATGCCAGGCTGCTGGCAGATCCAGTGAACCGCATGCTGCTTCTGTGGAAGCTTAGGAGAAGCAAGCAGCATAGGTTGGAGATAGCTGGCACACATGGTGATCTGGGTGGCAACACCATCAGAATGATGAGGTATGAAGCATATCTGGATTGCCTTTTGCACAGCAAGGCCCTTGAGTATGCTTTCAGTGGCTACAAGCAAGTCTGTGTCTCCTGGGACCCCAGCTCCTATGGTGGCAAAGACATTTTCATTGGATGCTTGTATGTGCCACAGTGCAACCAAGCTGCATACCTCATGAGCCAGCATTTGGGTGCCACCTACCTTGGAGAATTGGATGGGTCATTGCTTGAGCTGGGCCAAGCCAGAAAACTCACCAGACTTGAGGGCTACAGGGAGGTCAAAGGCCTAAGCTCATCACTGGAAGGTGTGGGGCTGTCTTTGAAGGACTTCTTTGTGCCTGAAGGACTGGTGCTCAGGCCTTTGGCTCCCCATGAGCTCAGGATTCAAGGTCCAGGTGGGAGATGGTACATCCAAAATGAAAAGACTGGAGAGACCAAACCTGAAGCCCCAGAGGACTTTGATTTTGGGGCTCTTCCTGCTCTCATCTCCATTTCAGACCAAGGGCCAGCAAACACAGCTGCACTCAACTACTTGATGTTTAGCTCCAAGGCTTTGCTTCTGTGGTCCCTATGGGACCCTTACCACAGAGCTTGGAACGACCTCAAGTTGGCCCTCAAGCGCTGTGCTGGTGATGGGTGGAGAACAGTGCTAGAACTCACCCTGGTTGCCAATATGAACTATGGCCCATTTGGAAGTGGCAGTTGGTTCTTCAAGAAGAAAGCCAAATTGCAAGACTTCCTGATGACCAGGGATGTGAACAGTCCTGCCTGGAACAACTTCCAGCATCTTATTTGTCAAGAAAGAAGGGTTTCTGAACCCAGCAATCTGGAAGAAGCACAGGAACTGTTCACTGAGATGGCTAGCCTGCAATCCTTCAACACCAAAGGCCCATTGGTGAAGCTCATGCGCTGGTTCTCATTTTTCGAGTCAATGGCATTCCTGGATGGTGAGTTTTATATGACTAAACTCATCCTTCTCCATGCTGCTGAGAAAGCAGATGCTGGCTCAGAGGCAGAGATTGATGAGGGCTTGCCACAGGAAAAAGACCACAAGAAGGAGCTTGCAGAGCTGAAAAAACGCAAGGGCACATGGAGGTTAGCCCCAAGCCTCATCAATGGCAAATCCCTTTGCATGAAGGACTGCATCATGGCCTGTGGGAAGGCAATATGGCAGAACTTCTCTGAGAGAGCAAGGGAGGTTTGCTCCCCCATGCGGGTGAAGGAGCTGAACATAGCATGTGCTCAGAGCACATTCTTACCTTGTGAGCTCTTGGACATGTTGGAATCTTCTTTGGAGGAGGAGAAATGCCTGAAGCACCTCTTTCCAGAATTCCAAGGGCATGAAAGTGCCATGACCTGGCATTGTGACCTCTTGGCAAAGCTCCTGGAGACCAGGGCAATGAGCTTGGCTGTCTTCTACCTGATGCCACCCAGCCTCTACTGCCACCTGCTGTCCTATGACCCTGAGGTGTCCAGGGAAGCACATGACTTGGCGCGGAAGCATTGGGGCATGTTGCTAGCAGCTGAGGAGGCCCATGCTGCTGGTGCAACAGTCAAGCCTTTGTCCAGCATTTACTGGAGGTTCAGCCCACTCATCAGGGCTTTGTTCATGGCTTTTGAGGAAGATGCCCGCAAGTGCCTAGTGTACACCACACAAAGTCAAGCCATGAGATTGCAGCTGCTCTTCACTCAGCACCTGGGAGATTCCAGGCTGATTGAGAACATTCACCAACATGGAAGAGATCTTTGCAGGGCCAGCAAATCCAATTCCATGTCGAATGTGAGCATTATGGCCAATGTCTTGAGATGTGGTGTACTGGAGGGCAGGAAAGTCCCTATGGTTGCTGCCAAGGAGATCATGAAGGCAACTGGCATGGCCTGGCATTCCAAGAACAAGGAGCCTGTGGTTCAAAAGTTGAGAACTCATGGGAAGAAGCTGCCTGTGGAATTGCAGCAGATGATGGCACCCAACAAAAAGGGCAATGAGCAGTGGCCATCTCCAAGCCCTGGCTCTTTGTTTCAAAGCTGTTGCTCCACAGACTGGCTCTTCCATTACTTCTCAGACCAAGCTGCCACAGATGCAGATGTCAATTCTGCATGGCTTTCTTGCCTTGCCAGGCCAGGGGCCATCTTGGCACAACAATCCACTTCATCAGTGGTCATGGTCATTGCTTCTGCAGAGTACAGCTTCTTGGGTGTGGCCATGGAGGCCAAAGTGGGCTTGACATTGGAAAGGACCTTCCACTGTGTTGTGAGGCGGGATTCCATTGGCTTCCACCACATCACAGACTTGGATGATTGGTTGGAGTTGCAGGTGGAGCCTTGCCTCACCACAGCAGGAGGAACTAGGGGCCCCATTGGTTGGCGGAAGATTGCTGAGCCTCTCACCTTGGATGCAGCTGCTTTGCTGAAAGGCATCACCTTGACATTTCTGCAGCTCAAGGATTTGGTTGTGGCATTGGGGGGCTCCAAGAAAGGCATAGCTTCCAAGAAGGCTGCCATAGAGCTCCTCATCACCATGGCCTTTGCTGCTGACAAAGTGGAAGAGGTGAAGGCAATGTATGCTGCTGAAGAGGAAGCCAGGGGTGATGAGCAGATGGACTCTGATCTCTCTGAATTGGTCTCTGAGCTTGGGCAAGATGATGCCAACACCCAAGACCTCAAAGACTTGAAGGAGAAGAAGCAGGCCTACAGACAAAAGAAAGCCCTCAAGAAGGCAGAGCAGCAGGTGCTGCTGCAGGGCAAGGAGAAGTCCAGGAAGGGCAGGGCAAGGGCAAAGGAAAGGCCAAAGGAAAGGCCAAAGCCAAAGGAAAGGCACAGGCTAAGCCCAAGGAGGAAAAGCCCAAAACCTTCTTGGAAAGTGTCATCAGGAGGGCCAAAAAGCTGGCTGCACAAAGGGACCAAGGAGCAATGGCTGAGATTGTCAAGCAGGAAAGGCATGTGGAAATGGAGGTGGCAAAGGAGATGACTGATGATCCAGAACAGGTGAGAAAGGCTAAGGCTGCTCCTGCTGAGGAGGCTGATGTTGACATGAATGATCTATTTGGAGATGCTGTGCCAGAAGGCCCTGATGCAGGTGCAGCACCTTCTTCTTCGTCTGGGCCTCATCAAAGGGCCCCAAAGACTTACAAGTCACCTGATGACATCTTGGGCCTCCTGAACCCACCAGGCTGCAAATTCACCTTGAGTGGCATGGACCACAGGTTCAAGTCTGAGTGGGAGGATGACCTCCCTGAACTGGATCATCCATACAGCCAAAAGAGATTCTCTGCATCCTTTGCTAAAAGAAGAACTTGGCAGGATGCCCTGAGCCTTGTGCATGAGCGAAATTGGCAGAAATGGAACCTTGTGAAAGATGAGTATCTGCTGGGTGAAGGTGAGGAGCCACAGAAGCCTGGTGTGATTCCACAGGAATTGCAAAATCTTTTGCAGGTGGAAATTGCCAAGCTTGGGAAGCCAAAAACTTATGCCAAGGGTGCTGCTGGAGAAGATGACACCCAGATGGCAGAGTGAGGGCATGCAGGGTGGGCTGAATGAGCAACCTCTGTGCATAGCTGGTATTGCCAGGAACAATTGCTGCATGCACATTTGAAATTTGCACATTTGAAATTTTTGAGAGCAGCTTTGAGTGGCATGCAGGAAAGCAGCAGGAATGTCAGTGCAAAAAAAGATGCAGTAACTTCAGTGAGACTTGCTAGGTGGGATTGCACAGAGAAGTTGGTAAACTCCATTGGGTTGGTAGACTGCCACTCTGACCCCCTTGCCCATGTTGCTGAGATGTGCTTCACCCTTGCTTGCACCCTTGCTTGGCCCTATGCTCTTGACAAAGCAGGTGCACACCATGGGCAGTGCAAGAGGGAACTTGAGCCCTGCCCCAGCAACCCAGCTGCACTGGGATTCTGAGTGCCACAGCATGGCCATGATCAGGCTTTGAGATTCCAGCCTTGTCTTGGCTTGCTTTGGTTCTTGGCATCTTGTTGCAGGGTGGCTTGCTGGTGCATGGCTTGGGCCCCTTGCCTGGGCATGGTGGTGAACATTGTGCTTGCCTCTGGCATTGGCAGTCCTTGTCTCCTCTTGGCTTGCCTTGGTGCTTGCCAGCTTGGTGCAGGTCTTGCTTGCTTGGGCATGGCTTGAGCCCTTTGGGCTTAGCCATGGTGGTGAACACTGTGCTTGCCTCTGGCATTGGCAGTCCTTGTCTCCTCTTGGCTTGCCTTGGTGCTTGCCACCTTGGTGCAGGTCTTGCTTGCTTGGGCATGGCTTGAGCCCTTTGGGCTTAGCCATGGTGGTGAACACAGTGCTTGCCTCTGGCATTGGCAGTCCTTGTCTCCTCTTGGCTTGCCTTGGTGCTTGCCACCTTGGTGCAGGTCTTGCTTGCTTGGGCATGGCTTGAGCCCTTTGGGCTTAGCCATGGTGGTGAACACTGTGCTTGCCTCTGGCATTGGCAGTCCTTGTCTCCTCTTGGCTTGCCTTGGTGCTTGCCACCTTGGTGCAGGTCTTGCTTGCTTGGGCATGGCTTGAGCCCTTTGGGCTTAGCCATGGTGGTGAACACTGTGCTTGCCTCTGGCATTGGCAGTCCTTGTCTCCTCTTGGCTTGCCTTGGTGCTTGCCACCTTGGTGCAGGTCTTGCTTGCTTGGGCATGGCTTGAGCCCTTTGGGCTTAGCCATGGTGGTGAACACTGTGCTTGCCTCTGGCATTGGCAGTCCTTGCCTCCTCTTGGCTTGCCATTCACCAAGCCCTCCCACCCACCCTTGCTTTGCTGGTGTTGCTTTGTTGCTGCTGTTGTGGGGAGGGGTGGCAGTCTACAAACCCATTGGAGTTATTGGAGTTTGTTTTATTTTTAACATGTGTGGCAGCAATGTTTCCAAAGCCAGGGCTTGGCACAAGAACATTTTATTTGGTTTTGAGTGCCAGTGCCAGCAGGCCATCAACATGTGAAGAAACCTACATGCACCACTTCTTTGGGGTTTTGTGTTATGTAGGTGATTTGCCAATACAGTCAGTGAATTTGGCTTTGAACACACACAGTCACAAACCATTTGGGTCACCATGGGCTATGCTTGCCACCTGCAGGTGCTGTGGGCCTGATCTGATGAGTGCAGCCTGTGGCCAGTGGTAGCACTGGAACTTTTGACCTTCTGAGAGGGGTGAGCTACACAAATTTGAAACCTTAGTGGACAAACGCCATGTGACAACACTGTGGTGGACAATTGTGCTTTGAAGGGGGGAAAACTGCCTGTCAAGAATCTGGGTGAGTTGTTTGTGTGCTGAATTGGGGTTAGTGACTTAGTGACACATGCAACAGCCAAGGTTGGCTACTGAATGTTGTGCTGGCATTTTCTTTTATTTTCAGTGTGGGTTTGTTGCAAAGGGTGCCATACCTGAAGGGTGTTTCAAATTGTGAGTTTCTAGGGCTTTTGAGGTCATTGCAAGGCCTTTGCACTGTTTGCACCAACCCAATGGGAATGTGATTGCATTTTCATTGGGCTGTACCTGGAATATGGGAAAGGGGTCCCTATTTTGAAAGTCAACATGTCCCTTCTGCATTTTTTTGGGTGTTTTGGTTTATTGCAATCCCTCTGCATCAATCCAATGGAATGAAATTTGTTTTACAAGAGGAGTTTTGTATGTTGTTTTTGCAATGGGCCTGAAATATGTGAAGGGGTTCCCATTTTCAAAGCCAACATGTAATTTTTATTTTGTTTTGTTCTTTTGGTGTTGTTGCAATCCCTCTGCATCAATCCAATGAGTGACATTGTTTTTACAAGAGGGGTTTGGCATTTTGTTTGGGATAGGCATGGAATATGTGGAAGGGGTCACCATTTTCAAAGCCAACATGTAATTTTTATTTTGTTTTGTTCTTTTGGTGTTGTTGCAATCCCTCTGCATCAATCCAATGAGTGACATTGTTTTTACAAGAGGGGTTTGGCATTTTGTTTGGGATAGGCCTGAAATATGTGGAAGGGGTCACCATTTTCAAAGCCAACATGTAATTTTTATTTTGTTTTGTTCTTTTGGTGTTGTTGCAATCCCTCTGCATCAATCCAATGAGTGACATTGTTTTTACAAGAGGGGTTTGGCATTGTTTTGGGGATAGGCCTGAAATATGTGGAAGGGGTTCCCATTTTCAAAACCAACATGTAACTTTTTCATTTTTGTTCTTTTGGTGTTGTTGCAATCCCTCTGCATCAATCCAAGGGGTGCTTGCTTGTGTTTTGTGCAGGTTTTTTTTAGGTTTTTTTAGGTTTTTCAAGGCAATGTTGGGATTTTTGTTGTTTTGCATAGGTTTTAATAGAAAATCATAGGAAACTATAAGTTTCATATATATTAGACCCTATGTTGAAGAAACACTCTCTTGAAGAAGCACTTCAAGAGATGCAATGAATAAAGACGTGCATATGTTTTTTTTTTAATGCACACATACCTTTTAAATCTGTCCGTCGTCAAGATCCTCTCATCACGGTTGACGATGATAGGGGGGTTGTAACCTACCCTTTATACTTTGGATATTCTCATAATCCATTTTCAATGGAATCTGGTTCTTAACTTCAATGGGAATATTGTTCTTAACCAGGATGAAATTGACATTGCTGATGTTGAAATGTGTTGAATACTTGCAATGTCTTGAAACTTAAGCTTTACATATATCAGGGTAAATTTCATCACGACCTCACTGTTCTCCCGAAGCCTGGAATCATGGGAATTGGATTCGGGAAATCATCCCCAAGTGAAGATTTCAGGTTAGTGAAATATCATAATTTACCCAGATATATGGTTCAAACTATATATATATATATGTATATACATACATAATATTATGTGTACATATATATATATATATGACTATACAGCATCATAGACCATAAATCTTTGCTTCACCAAGGATGCTACTTCAAGAGGGGTTTTCTTCAGGGCCAATTTGGCCATATCAAAGGCTAAGAAAATCCCAGAATTTGCAACCCTGCTAAATTTGGGATTTTTCTAGCCTTCCTCTCACATTTGCCAGCTTCTTTGCAGCCTTTTGGCTCCAGTTGGTTTTCAAAGGGACCCCAGGCAGAATGCCATCGAGAAAGAAGAGGGGGAGACCTGGTTACAAGAACCTGCCATATGACTGGCAAAACCCCATGCATCAGGCAATTCCTCCTTGGGTGAAACCTTGGCTGGGAGGCTATGGCCAACAGCCAGAGGAACAGGATGATGATGATGAGGAGGAGGAGTCCAGCTCCAGCAGCAGGGCCAAGTCGTCTAAGAGGATGCATGGCTTGAACATGAGCTATCATAGATTTAGTAGGAAGTAGACTGTTAGGGGCAGTTGGGGGTTCTGAAGCTAGTGGTACAGCAGCAGCATCATTGTTTGAAATTGTACCTGGAACTATTGCAAGAGGTGGCACTTAAGGTTCATCACTTTTCAACTTCCAAGATTCTAGGTTTGAATCTCCTTGTTTCCCTGTTTTGAAATTGCTTGGTTGAAAGTAAATCAATGATTCATCATTTGACAATTTGTGGGGAAACCTGGGTGCAGCAGCTTGGCATCAGGAAGGAGAAGAAATCCAAGGACAAGAAGAAGGTGAAGAAAAGGAGAAAAGAAAAGGTAAGAAGGATAAGGACAGCAGCAGTGGTGAGTCAAGTTCAGATTCTGACACCATCCCATCGCAGCTAGCACAAAATTAGCCCAACACCCTGAACATCTTATTTGGCATTTGTTCATCATGGCCTGCTCAGTACATGAAAACTATTGATGAACTATTGCACCATGACATTAGAAAACATGTTTCTTGGTTCTGTTGTGTGTAGAGCCATTCATTCAATGCATTGCCATGGATTGTGTTGGCAACATCATGATTGCTAACCAACCAATTTGGCATGGAGTTTCTTTGCTTTGCCATTTTCCTGCCACTGTTTTACATCCAAGGCATTGGGTGCACCTGGGCCCAGAATGGGGTGAGACCAAAGAGGGCTTCAGGTGTACAAACAAGAAGAACTCAGTGCCCAGAAATCCAAAGTTGAAGTGGCTGGCAGCAATTGACAAGGAGAGATACCCACCTAGTTACTTGCTTGGCCATATCAAGGTTTTGGTATTGGATAGTGGTTTGCAAAGTCTGTTTGGCTAGAGTGTTTTAAGGTTTTGGTTTGTGGAAGATTGGGTGTCCAGCAATTGGGTGAGACAGCTTCCTGAGGCACCACTTGCATGCTCAGTGAACTCCAACTAGAGCAGCTGCTTTGGTGCTTGACTGGGCTTTCCCCTAAGATTTCTGTGAAAGACTTGGATGTGAAGACCAGATGTGAGTTGACCCTTGGCTGGACTCAGAACCTGCTAGGATTCAGAACATGGTGGAAGTACCTTGGGGGGCCAGTACCTTATGTAAAAATAGTTTATGATAGAAATTGCTTGGGACATCTTCAATGGAGGTGGGGCTTGGGTGGGGGTGCCTGGCTTTGCTCAGGAAGCAGCTGATCAAGGACCAGGCACAGAGGATTGAGAAGCAGCACCAAGGGAAGAGAGCAGAGAGCATTGCTGTTCCTTGGCAAGGGTCAGGTGGGTGGTTCACTCCATCCCATATTGTTTGGGCATACTAGGCATTTCCAGCATGCATGCAGCCCTTTCCATCTGATTGATTCACCACCCAGCCCTATACCAATTCAATCATTTATGGGTTGACTTATGTTGAGCTGCAATGTGGCCAAGGAAGACTTTTCCAATTTGGATGAATACTCAAATCAGCTGGGCTGGTACAATTTGTGGAAGAAGACTTCCAAGAAGATACTTGGTTGCACCTAAACACAGGTTTGGCATATTTGGTATATGGATGCTGTTCCTTTTGGGTGGCAGGGATGTGCATTAAAAAATAATAATTCAATAAGCTGCATTCTGTCACAATTTGAGCCTTACCTTAGTTCCATGTGCCAAATCACCAGCCAAGGGGAGCAGACCAGCAAGACAGTCCTCCCCCACCTTCTGTCTTTCAGGAGTACAGCAAGATCAAAGGGTGCCTTGGCTCTCATGTCATGCACTGGCATCACCAATCAAAGTTCAAAGCTTGTAGTGTTTGGGTAATCACAGGTAACTGTTTTGGACCATTGTTCTAAGGTTTAATAATTCATAATAATTCATAATCCAACCATTTTGTGAAAACTTTGGCCAGCACTTCTCAGAGCTCATGGGAGGCCCAATGGAGAGCTTGAAGTATGCCATGTGGAGAGGGGCATGAAGGTGGTGGTGGGCCCACCACATGCTCCCATTGCCTTGGCCTACAGAAACTCTTGCTACTACTTGAAGCTGGCAGAGACAAGCAAGACTTCTGAGAAGCTTGGAGGCATTGCAAACTGGTAGGTGGTAATTCAAGTGTAGGCATGGCATGGAAGTAGGCTTGCAGGTTGCAGCAGGCACTGATAACTATGGTTTGGAAGGGAAAACCCATTTCATTTTTCAAATTGTTTCACCTGGTGCCTTTCCATACTGGTTTCTTTGGGGCCTGCCCCACTAGCCATCCCAGGGTGCTGATGAAAGCAGATGATGTGTTTGAGCATGCTGATGGTGTGCAAGCTTGGTATGCCAAAGTGGACACTTTGCTGGAAAAATGTTTTGGCTTATGGTTTGCAATTTGTAATGGCTGAATGAATGAGTGGCAGGGGGGCTGGGGTATTAACACCCTTGGCAGCACACTGAGCTATGCAATCTGAAAGCATTGCAACCCTTGGCTTTTGTTGAGTTGCCAGCCCTAGCAATGCAATACATTATTAAAAGTGTTGTAATAAGTGTTTGTAAGTGGACCTTTGTTTATTTCATTGAGATCCATTGGGGGGTTCTCCAGCAAGCCAGTGCATTGAGGCAGAGACTGCACTGCTGAACCAGGAGGACATGTGGGCTCAGCAGTATATCAGCCAGATGAAAGGAGAGGGGCTGGAGGGTTCATGGCAGGGTTGGCATGGCCATGTCACTGTACAATTGTTTGTGCGCATGTCTTACAAACTCATGTGCTGGCCTTGCTGCCTTAAGAAGGTGGACAGCTCACAAGCCAGTATAAAACAACAGCCCCAGGACTACCTGAAGGGCATTGGCAAGCTGTGCAACTTGCAAACTTGGAGCAGCAACTGCCATCAAAAGGGAGGCTGCCAAGTGGTTTGGCAGTGTATTGACATTATTTGTGTTGATGTTTTAAATTGCAGGGGATGGCAACCCAGCAATATGAACTTTTTTTTTGGCTGGGACATGTTGTGGGGTGTTTGTTGTG